ATATGTAAGGTAAATATATTACCAATGCACAAAGCTTAGATTATATTTATATGTTCCTTTTGCTCCAATTTTTACAATTTTGGCTCTTTGTAGGAGGTTCCAGAAGGAATGAACCAATAAGTCCTAACTTATAACATAATAAAGGCATGGTTAAAATATTTGATTGTGCAAAGTTCAGTTCAATTTAATTTTCAGCAAAATTTTGACCAGAAAAAGTGGACCGAATATCCTAATTTTCAAACTTGATTTGAGTTTGAAAGAAATATTACAACTTGCAAAGTTAGGATCAAATCGGACATACCATTCTCCTAATATTCAATTTATAAATATTAAAATGAGTATGGATGAAAATTATCGTGCCACTCGAAGGCCGACCGGACGGATTTGTAAATCAACTCCAAATGGTGTGAAACTGATTTGGCCCAAAGAAACAAGCGATCTAAACTCAATATTTCGATGAGACACATTTTTGCCATATCAAAATGTATATACCCCCCTCCCCATTAGCCATAAGACTGAGGTTATAAAAATGCTATCGAAGAATTATTGATGAAAAAATATTTTACTATGCTAAACATAAGGGCTGAGGGTATAAAAAACCTCTCTAGGTCTTATAGAAAAATCTTTTATGAAAGTGTATTGATCTTTTATACGAGGGCGGTTCGAAAAGTTCTTAGCCTAGCACAAAATGAGCAGTATAAACAGAAAAACCTTAAGTGTTTTGAACACATGTTATGAACACATGTTAAATTTTGTTTCGATCTGGCAACACCATCATATAGAATCATGTGTTCAAAAAATACAATAAAAGCACGCATTTATAATTGTAAAAAATGCGGATGCGCCGTTTTTGAACACCTGTTTCTATATGAAAGAGTTGCCAGATCGAAACAAAATTTAACATGTGTTCATAACAGAAATGGAAGTTTCCAAAACACTTAACTTTTTTTCTGTTTATACAGCTTTTTTTTGTGGCTAAGCTAAGAATTTTCCGAACTGGTCTCGTAAGTAAATTTCTACATTATATTCAATAAGAATATCTATAGGATATTTACAAGGAAAATCCCGAAAGATCTTCAATAACTTGAATGTACGAAGTAAAACTCTAGTTATTGTATTGTTTAAAAACATAAAATTACCACTTGTTCTGTTGTTCTGAAAAGAAACCCAATTAATTTTTTCGAAGAAGGCCCAAAGAACCACTGTTCATTAGTGCGAGATTTGGAGGCTTGAGAAACTAACTATTTTGATATTTTCTATTATTTTTCTTTATTGCTCTATCCCACCCACACCTACATTATTTTTTTTTAATACACCTGTCACCAACACAATTCACCTACTTTTACTTTCAAAGTGGCCAGACAATTTAATTTTTTTTTTATGAATTTCAATGCACTTTTTCGTCACAAATAAAGTGATTGAAGTTAAGCAAAAAAAATGACATAATAATTTTGATTTGAATTTGAATGAGTAAGAAAGAAATAAGTACGAAACAAAACATAATAAATATTAATATAATAATGCGGTTATAATTCATAGAAATGTGAACTAATATATCGAAACAACAACAACAATTTTCAGTATCAAAAACCTCAAAATTATTAACAATAACAAGCGTAGTATTGGCCCCATAAACTTTTACATTCAAATGGAAATTTCTGGCAAAAAAGTTATTTCTTAATTTTTCCAATCTCCCCTGACTAGGTTTTTGATTTTTTTGTTTCAATAGTTATGTTCATCATTTGTTCATTCATTTTTCCACTAATAAATAATAATAGACAAAAACAATAATGCAAAAAACACAACGTAGTAAATAATTAAGTAAAACCATTTTTATGAATGAAAATGAAGAGGAGGACGCATACACAGAAAAAAGTACTACAAGACATAAAAAATAAAAATAAATTCGCCCAGTAATTGCACAGCCAAACTCAATACTTGTTTGATTTAAACACCGTCTTCTCTACGGAAAGTGACAATTTGCTATGTGTTACTAGTTCATCACTAAATTAATTCTATTTCCAATCTGTGTGTGAGATATCTATAAGCAGTAGATGAATATCTATTGGTCCTACAAAATGAAATCCTCTAGACTTGCTATAAGAACATGTTTGCTATATGAAAAGTTATTGGCATATTTTTCCTCCCCTTGGGCTTCGATAAGTTCTATTGGTTTTTTACAAGAAAGCAAGTAAAAAAGTGTCTGTCGGTGTTGCCGAAAGTTGTCTAGCACCAGACAATGATTTGAGGAGGTCTACGGAATTACTACAGACGGGTTTTATTATTCCTTTTTCCATTACGAAATAGACAGTTTCCAGAAGAGGTTTCTCTACAGAAATATATGTTTTAATCTTTGAGGCTGAGGTACCAGAAGTGGCCCGAATGGGTGCCATCTGCGGACATTATCTAGGTTTGGTAAAAGTACTATCATTTGCAAAGTTTAGATCAAATCGAACATTTCATTCGTATGGTAGTGAATTACTAATTTTTCAAAATTTTAACATTTTTTGTGGGAGGTACCAGAAGCAGTGAACCGATGAGTGTCATCTTCGGACTTGATCTAGACAAATAAAAACATTATGATTTCCAAAGTTTTAATCAAATCGAATTAACCAATTTTCAAAATGTTGACACCAAAAGGAGTGGCCTTGTCTTCGGACATGATTTTCAACATTTTTAAATTTGTTGGGGGAGGTACCAGTAGCAGTGGACCGATAAGTGTCGTCATCAGACTTGATCTAGACAAGGAAAAACATTATGATTTGCAAAGTTTGAATCAAATCGAATTAACAAATTTTCAAAATGTTGACACTATGTGGGAGGGGTACCAGAAGTAGTGGACCGACGGGGGCCCATCTTCGGACATGATCGAAGTTTGACAAACGTATTACGATATGCAAATTAGTTTTCATAATGTTTACTTTATATGGGAGAGGTACCAGAAGAAGTGGACCGACGGGGTCCCATCTTCAGAGAGGATCAGGGTTTCAAATCGGGCATTTCATTCGTTTGATAGTGAATTAACAAAATTTTTAAAATTTTAAAACTTTCTGGGGAGATACCACAAGAAAATCGATCGATGGATTCCATCTTGGGACTTGGTCCAGCCAAGCTAAAAATATTATGATATGCAAAGTTTGGATCATATCGTATGTCCCATTCATTGGAATAGGAATAACAACTTTTAAAGATTTTCACCCTTTGTAGGGAAGGTGTCAGAAGGAGTGGAACGATATTCTCCATTTTCGAACATAAACTAGGTTTGGAAGAAATATTGCTATGTGCAAAAATTCTATGAAATCGGTTACATCCTTCGAGAGTTACCGTGTCAAGAAGACATACGATTACACCTTTTTCACATGTTATTCAAAACATATCAAATGTAATTCGAGAATTCCGTTTGTAATTCACAACATATAATTCACAATTCGAGAATTTCATTGACAATTCATAACATATCTGTTGTAATTCGAGAATTTCATTTGTAATTCATAGAAGAATACCATTCGAAATTCATAGAATTCCATTTGAAAATCATAAACTTCTTTTTGAAATTCATAAACTTCTTTTTGAAATTCATAATCTGCCATTTGAAATTCAAAGGATTGCCTTTGAAATTCATAAAACTCGATTTAAAATTCAAATAATTCCATTTGAAATTCATAACATTTCATTTGAAATGCATAACATTTCATTTGAAATACATAACATTTCATTTGAAATGCATAACATTCCATTTGAAATGCATAACATTTATTTTTAAATTACAACACCCAAAATATATTTATGAATTTCAAATGAATTGTTACGAATTACAACTGAACTATTATGAATTACAAGTGAAATGTCTTAAATTTCAAATTTAATTCTTTGAATTTTAAACGAATTTATTTGAATTTCAAATGGAAATATACTAATTACAAATGAAAATTTTTAAATTTCAAATGGAATTTTTTGAATTTCAAATGAAAAGTTTAAAATTACAAATGAACAAATGTGTATTACCAATTACATTCTTGGATTACAAGTGAAATGTTATGAATTGCAAATTGTGTTTTCGAATTACAAATGAAATTCTTGAATTTCATTTGAAAAGTTTCGAATAACATTTGAAAAATCTTTATGTATACTGCCGGACGGACCTTTTAAATCGACTCCAAATTGTTTGAAGCGGGATCTAAAACCAATATTTCGATGTGCCATATTTTTACCGTATCAAAGGGTATAAACCCTCCTCTTTTCTTTAGTCATAAGTTCAAGAATTCTTGATCAGACCTCTTAGTTCTATACCCAAACGGGAATTCTTTCATGCATTCGTTTTGTTTTTAATTATGGCCGGTTGTTTTTTGAATTCATTCATTCATTCACTCTTCTAAATTAAATTCATCATTTGGTAATTAAGAAAGTCAGTAATGAAAAAAAACCTAACTTGAAGGTGCTGCACCGACAACAATCTCAAAAAGTCATCTTCTCCGATACCAGTAAGGAGGAGTTCATGTAGCCGTAATGACATCAATGACTGACTGAATGAATGAATATGGAATATATGGGCGCTGGCGTGTTTCTTTGTCATCAAAAACATTTTTTTCTTATTCGAGATCAACACAAAACAAGTTGCTGCCTGCCTGCTTGCACTGGCTGGCTGCAGAAGAGATCACGATCATGACAAACAATAATCATAACAAAGCAGCAATGTCGTAGACTAATTGAATGATTCACACATTATCAAAAGAAAAAAGACTGGAGAATCTATGGATATGTGAAATGGATGGGGAAAATGTGTTTAGTGCAATTTTCAAAGAAATTTCAGTTTCCATGTTTTTTTTTTCTCAATAGTAAATTAAACATATTGTTTGTAACAGGTGTTCTTTTTTGTCGATAAACACTTTTAAGGGCCCAAGTTTCGAGATTTTTATTTTGTTTCAAATTTTCTTCTTATTCTTTACATAACAAATTTATCGCAAAAATATTAATTTAATTTTCCCCTTCTTCATTTCCAGGTGCTGGTGAATCTGGCAAATCGACAATTGTCAAACAAATGAAAATCATTCACGAATCCGGCTACTCCCAACAGGAATGTGAAGAATATCGCCGTGTCGTCTACAGCAATACCATACAATCGTTGATGGCCATCATACGTGCTATGGGACATTTGAAAATTGATTTTGCGGATCCATCAAAAACGGAAGTGGCCCGTCAATTCTTTACATATGCCTCAGCGGCCGAGGAGGGCATTCTGCTACCCGAACTAGTATTACTAATGAAGAAATTATGGGCCGATGCCGGCGTCCAACAGTCATTTTCACGTTCACGAGAATATCAATTGAATGATTCCGCAGCCTATTATCTCAATTCATTGGATCGTATATCGGCGCCAAATTATGTACCCACACAGCAGGATGTGTTGCGCACGCGTGTTAAAACCACCGGCATTGTGGAGACACATTTCAAGTGTAAAGGTTTATATTTCAAGTGAGTATGGCACAAAATAACAACAGCAACAAAAATAATTTAAAAGGGGGGAAATGAAATAAGCAACAAAAAACAACAACCCTTCTTTATTCAGTAAATGGATCTCTCTTCATAATACTCTACTCCCTCTTCAAAATTTATGGATTACTTCCATAAAGTAATTGAGGATTCTTGTAAAAACAACTTAGGGGAACTTTCAGTGTTCCGAAACTCCTTTACACATATTTGTGGTTTTGTTGCTTTTGTTTTATTTCTTCCACTTAATTGATTTGTTACATGTTATTATGAATTTTTTTAACATGATGTTTTTTTTCTCTCAACTCCTTCAGAATGTTTGATGTTGGCGGCCAACGTTCGGAACGTAAAAAATGGATTCATTGTTTTGAATGTGTGACAGCAATTATCTTCTGTGTAGCATTATCGGGTATGTATGTCAAGAACATTTTGTGGAATTCAGTTATTTTTTTAGTTTATTTTTTTCGCATTAAATCAAAACAATAGCTATAATATGTACTTAACTGGAGACAGAGAGAGCGGCTTATCTTTCTCTAGTTACTTATTGGTTGAAAACTTCCATATACATTTTTCCTATAAATCTTCAGTTTTTACGTCAATGGGAATGTTGAATATTGGATGAAAATGACATACATATTTTGATTTGTATCGAATCTCCAGTTTTGCGTCAATGCAAACGCTTCGTAATTAGTCTTGAGTCACAGATTTGACCTATTTTAAATGTATATTAAATGAAAGGATTTCGTTTTGAATAAAAATGAAAACCCAGTAAGGAAAGAAAAACCTAGAAATGGAAAGTAGAAAAGTCGGACAGGGTCAACTATATGATATCCTTCGCCACTTTGGGTATATTCTACATATGTATCCTAACAATTTCATGTCAGTGTTCCTTCGAAGGGTACATAAAGTAACATAACAGAAAATCGGAAGAAAAGATATTTTGGATTTATATCTATATCTAATCCGATTTTCACAAAAAATTAGCACAGATCATTCTAGACTTAATTTAGACAATTCTAGACAAATCGAAGAATATATAGGGACTTCGGTACACCATTTACATTCAATCGAACAAAAAAAAGATATGAGAGCTATATCTAAATCTTAACTGATTTTCCCCAATTTCAATAATGTTCATCCTTGAGCTAAATAGATGAGCTGTGCCTAATTATATCCAATTCGGATCATAAATGCAACCTGAACTTTGTTTACAATTTAATATGGACAGTCCGACGGACGGGCATGCATAAATCGACTCATGCATACATCCTGTTACAAACATTTGCACAAAGACTTAGTACCCTGTACCACAGTGAGGTGAAGGGTATAAATGTGTTTCCGCTTTTTTCGAGTCGCTTTGAGAAGTTCTGTAAAATAAAATTTACCACTTACTTAGCTGGCTTGTGACAGAATTTTCGTTCCATAAGCCAAGATTAAAAAAAGTTCCAGGCACGTCGGTCTTTTGCGCAGTTTTTCCAATTTGAAAGACCATATTCGGCAATGTTGTCTTCCACTTTGTCTTTCCATCTTATTCGTGGCCTTCCCCTTCTGCGTGAACCATCAGCTGGTTCGCTTTTATATGACTTCTGGGCTGGGGCATCTTCATCCATGCTCACAACATGACCTAGCCAACGTAGTCGCTGCAGCTCAAATACGTTTAACAATGTTGATGTCCGAGAATGGCTGGTACAACTCATGGTTCTTTCGGCGGCGATATTCACCGTCAACGCAGATCGGCCCATAGATCTTTCGGAGAATTTTTCTCTCAAACACTCCAAGAGCTGCCTCAACTGCTTGCGTAAGAACCCATGCTTCAGATCCATATGTAGTATCAGCGTCTTGTAGAGTGTGAGTTTGATCTGGCGGGAGGTGGCCTTGCTTTTGAGTTGTTTTGCTCAGACCATAGTAGTATCTGTTGGCCATCACTATCCTTCTCCGAATTGCAAATCTGATGTCATTCGTTTTGTTTATGGCGGTACCAAGGTATATAAAAACATTGACTACCTCGAAGCTGTAGTTCTCAAGTTCCACAGTTGGTCCGAGTCTACTGGACGTATATACTGCGCGTTGATACCATCAGCTTGGTCTTCTCGCCGTTTACTGCCAGACCCACTTTGGCAGACTCCTTCTCAATTTGTTCAAATGTCGCTTATGTCGATGTCATCGGCGTAGGCGAGTAACACGTGTTGTTTGGTGTACAGAGTGCCATTTCTGTTCACTTTTGCCTCTCGTATGAATCCTCATTCGGTATTAAATTGATATTGTGCCTATTAAAGTTATCCTGCATAGCCGAATTAGTTTTACAGGAATGCCAAACGCAGACATGGCTTCATAGGGCCGTCGAATGCGGCTTTATAGTCAACGAATAGATGAAATGTGTCGATGTGTTTTTAGTGGGTTTTTCCAGGATTTGGCGAAGAGTGAATATCTGCTCTATGTTGGATTTGCCAGGTCTGAAGTCGCATTGGTATGGTCCAATAATGTCATTGACCATTGGCGTCAGTCGTTCACACAACACACTGGATAGCACTTTATATGCGATGGGTAGGAGACTTATTCCTCTATAGTTGGCACATATCGTCTTGTCTCCTTTTCTGTGCACGTGACACAGGATGCTGAGGTTCCAATCATTGAGCATGCATTCTTCTAGCCAAATTGTACTAATAAGCTGGTGCATGCTCCTTACAAGCATATGACCACCAGTCTTGAATAGTTCGGCTTGTAACCCATCGGCACCTGCTGCTTTATTATTCTTCAGCCGATTGATTGCTATTCTGACTTCATCTTGGCTAGGTGGTATACACTCTATACCGTCATCTATTATTGGTTATGGAGTATCCTCTTCACCGCTACTATTTGATACCAGAAGTTTTTCAAAATGTTCCTTCCAGATCCTCAGCACGCTGTCTGTATCTGTCACCAGGTTTCCTTCATCGTCTCTACAGGAGAGTGTGCCTGAACCAAAGCCTTCGGTTTGGTGTTTTACTCATTGGTGGAATTTTCGGACTTCATTCTGACTCCTGTACATCTCGATTTGCTCACGTTTTTCTTAAAATTGGTTGGGTCTAAATTTTTAAAAAAATTAAATAGACTCTTTGTGTTGGTAGGAGCCGCCTATAAAGAATATTAACCGATTCTTGATTTCCTATTTCGATTGTATATTTTTACAGTAATATCAGGATAATAATATTTATTTTTTCCAACTCGCTTTGTTGTGAGGTTCTGTAAAATAAAATTTTTTGTTTCTAATTTTTTAAAAAATTAAATTGACTCTGTGTTTTAGTAGGAGCCGGCCATAAAGAATATTAACCAATTCTTGATTTCCTATTTCGATTGTATTTTTATTTACAGTAACATCAAGATAATAATAATATTTATTTTTTTTTTACAGGCTACGATTTAGTATTAGCTGAAGATGAAGAAATGAATCGCATGATTGAATCGCTGAAACTTTTCGATTCGATTTGTAATTCGAAATGGTTTGTGGAAACCTCAATAATATTGTTCTTAAACAAAAAGGATTTGTTTGAAGAAAAAATCAAAAGATCTCCATTGACAATATGTTTTCCTGAATATACAGGTATGTCTAGTTAGATTTCCATTTTTAATTCTTATTACTTTACTATTAATTATCTCTTGCATTTCTTTTTAGGACCCAATACATTTGAAGATGCTGCCTGTTATATTCGAATGAAATTCGAAAGTCTAAACAAACGTAAAGATCAAAAGGAAATCTATACACATTTTACCTGTGCCACAGATACAAATAATGTACAATTTGTATTCGATGCCGTCACTGATGTCATAATTAAAAACAATCTCAAAGATTGTGGTTTATTTTAGATACGTTTATTTTATTTCTCTTTAAATATTATTATTAAAATAATTATTAATTTTAAAATTGTGTGTACGTGCGTGTAATTAAATGAAAACAAACAAAAAACCTAGTATGTTTAGAACTAATAATTTTTTTTATGATTTCATTCATGCAAAGTCAAAGTCATTCCATGTTTTAATAATTGTTTTGTTTTATAAAGAAAAAAAAATAATATGATGTAACAATATGAAAATAAGTAAAAAACGAGAACAACGCTAGAATTGTTTCGTTCGTTGTAATTCGTTTTAGGCACATCATCAATGTGTAATCGATCTTCAGTAATAATCATTTTTATGACGAAAACATGAAAAACAAACATTTCCATTTATTGAAAATATATATTTTTCTACAACTGTCATTTACATGACCCACAAATCATTCACCACATTTTGCTGCATTTTTATTTTTGATTGCATTGAACAACGAATAGCAAAAATATTCCATAATTTGAATTAAATGAAGTTTATAAGAATATCTAATATTTTTTTTTTAATATTTAACATGTTTATATACTACTATAGTGCATTATTTATATCATTTATATACTGTATTATTTTCCCCCTATTGTTTGAAATATTTTGAATTAATTTAATGAAGGCCTTCTTGTTAGAACTATAAATAGTGAAGCTTACATTTGAATGATTATGATGATAAAGGAAAACTTCAAGCTTTATTAATCACATTCAAATATTACATTTAAAATATTTCCCCCTCTCGCCCAGGTAGTACATATGAGTATGGTTGAAAACAAATAAATATAAGGTGTAACGTTTTCTTGGTAAAATTACATATTAAAAATAATATTAAAATATAAATTTAATTCTGACACTATTTTCCTTTGTTCATTTAAATTTATTTAATAAAAAACTATTTTTTCTTAAAAGGGGAATGGTGGCAGAATTAAATATACCAAAAATTTTTCCTTTATAATTTGGCATTAAACCATGTCATGTCAGTGTTTGGGCCTTTCCTTGCTGAGTTTGGGGAATATTTTATTAAATTGTTATTTGGCTTCAAATTAACTATTTAAAAAAAAAGTGCATTTAAATAATACATAGTTATATAAATATGTGGTTCTTGGAAATTATAAGACCAATATATTTGTCGGTTTATTTATAGTCTAAAAATAAGGCCTTTTACAACCGCACATGTCTCCCCAAAAACTACTTTGGCTATATATTTTATATAAATTTTGTAGTTATTATTTCATATTCCCATTTCTTTGCTCTTTAAAATTTGCATATCCTCCTTCATATCTACATGATGAATATCCATACCCATCCCTTAACCTAGCATTAATATATTATAACAACTAAACTAAAAAAAATTATTCTAATTTTATAACTCAAAAAGTGTTTTTAAGTTGAAATTTATGACAAGTTAAACGAATTTCTTTAAGTTATAAAAAAAACAAACTCCTAATAATAATAATTATAGTAACTAACTTTTTAACCATGTCCACTTGTGAATAAATAATAAATTCCACATGACAACTAAGAAAATAAACAAATATCGACAATAGTTTGTATAATTTCCAAATTAAAATATTTCTACAGAAAAACCGCCTGCAAAACTCGTTTTCCAAAGCAGCTGTTTTGTTTTAAAAGAAAATGAAATTCCTATTCTCACTCTCTATACATGTAATGAAAAAATATTTCGTTTGTTTTTTATATATATTTTTAAATACTACATAAGTAAACAAAGTGATTATTAGTCGTAACAACAGCAACAAAAAAGCATAAAAATTTACTTTTGTCATAAAATAAAAAACCAACTATACATTTTGGACAAATATTTTATTTTGTTTTATATTATTTTTTTATATTACCAATATTATTTATGGGTCGATTACGGATGGCAACCATAGTTTAGTTGCATTGCCAGTTGCCAAATTTGCATTATGGATGGCAACTGTTGTCAACTTCAGTTGCTTGAAATATAATTTTTCGACAACCATTTATTTCTGGTTGCTGTTTATAATAACTGAACTTTGTAGGCTTCCCATAATGGTTAATATTACTACAAAAGAACAATTTGAGGTCCTTATTGCCCGGATGGAAGCTCAACCAAGCGTAGCACGCGGCGTGCGGACCTTTGGTCAAACCAAAGCCACTATCGATGATGTGTGCAAGGCTATTTCAGAAGACCTTAACTACTATGGCCCTCCAACACGCATTCCAAATGAATGGCAGAAAGTGGCGAACATCTTTTGGGTCCATGATATGTAAGTGTGTATCATCAATAAAAAAATTTATTCTTCCCTTTTTCCTCCTCCGTTAATTTGTATACAATCAACTTCGGCGAAAACCACCGACATTGTCGGTTGAGCCATGCCAAGGTTGAAGTCATTGCTATGGGACTTTTGAAACAAAAAACATCAGAGCTGCACACATTTTTAAGAGAGGGAGAATTGCTGTTGATCGCCAGGCTTTTCGGAAATTACAGTTTGGTTGCTTTCTATAATCGACCCATTATATTACCAATATTTTACATTGGTAGGGCTTAAGGGGTTTTAAGAATATATTTAAAAAAACGAACAATGCGTGACTTCGATTTTATTGCCTATTGGTGCTAACGAATAATATGCTGAAGAAGTACGTGAACATTTTTTTCGAATATTTTATTTGATAGAGTATTACAAAAAGAAATATCTCAAAATTATTTATTATTATTATAAATATTAAAATAGTAAACATAGTAATAAATTAATCCCAGTGTGCATTTGAAGTAATCCTTTAAGGTGCTTTAGTAATTATACACCCATTTATAAAAGCTATATATTGGGAATAAGCCCCACATTGTCTTCTCTATTTCTTTGATTTCATTGCTTCACGCTGTTCGTCCAAGCGTTTCATAAATTGTTTCCAATACTGCTGGAGAGTGGGATTCTTCAAAATATATGTATCCACCAATCGTAGGGTTAAACAAAATACATAATAACAGAAATCCCAAACATATACCAATGCGGTGAAAAAGTATTTTTGCACCTGATCACGATTGGGTAGCTTAATGTTCGGTGGTTGAATGGGAGAATCTAAAAAAGAGTGGGAATAGGCCATTATCATTTTTTTTTCATTGATTAAAGTAATGATGAAGGTCTCACCAGGTGGTGACTTTGGCGATTGGGATGATGAATACTTGCTACATGGATCATTTGATTGGGTGGAACATAAGGATGGAGATGATTTTACTTCAGATGATGGCGTAGATGGAGGTGTTGGGGTTTTTGTCGATGATGTTGCTTCAATGATAGGCTTTGTTTGTGATTCAACTGATGTTATTGTTTTAGTACTGACTGATGGATTTGCTGATTGGGATGTTGTTATTTCATTGTTAGTAGCAGGTGAGGGTTGTGTAGCCACATTTGAACCGAAATGTTTTTGAATTAAAAATGATGAAATGAAAACTAAAAACAAATAATTCAAAGCCTTGATTATTTAGAAAGGATATTTCCTGCGACTATTAAAATATGATTTTTTATAAAATATTTGTTCTTGGGCCCACAAAGAGTAAATCAATGAATATTTTTTAAAAGACAAACAAATTGTTAAAATTTTAAAGGACCCTACCAAGGTAGATGTATTAGGTAGTCGCATCGACCCAGTTGATTGTAACATTGAATGTCAAATTGTAATTGTTGTAATTTTTAATTCGTCCTAAAAATTAATTAATTTTTGTAAATAAAATTGAAGTTTCGTGATTTGAAGTTTTCTTTGAAAGAACCAAAATATCTAAAAATGAACAAATTACAAATTATAATGGACAGACGGACAGATGATAAACGATATACAAAAATTTGAGTCTAGGAGTAGTGCAGCTACAATCTCTTGAGGCAACACGTAGTTTTAACATAGATGTGTAGGGTATTAAAACATTTTGTTCTGATTGGTTGAATTAAATTTGCCTAAATTTTGAAATGTCAAGGCGAATTAAATTTTATTTGCCTTGTTTACAAATTTTGACATATTATGTTACCAAAAAATTGCTTTGTTGTAGTAATTCGCCGATGCGACTACCTAATATATGTGCCTTGGACCCTACACCATACGGTGGTGCAGGCATATTATGTCATAGTTACTTTTGACAATATAGATATAATTACTTTTCAGGGTGGATTTATGCATGTCCGTCTGTCTGTCCATGTATTTAAGTAAACAAAATATAGTTCGTATTATCCGAATGAAATGAAATTTGGTACAAGGACGAATTTTACATCCGATTACATCCAAATGATTCTCCAAATACCCAATGTTTGTCGGATCGCGATCATTTTCACCTGCGTACCAAATTGAAGCAAAAATGAGGTGTGTGTTAAGATTCGTTCAAATCTTTTCATATTTAGATATAACTTCATATATATATTCGTCCGATTTAATGCAAATGAGCAGCAAACACGCCACGTTTGCCCAATTTGTATGACAGATTTTGGATAATAATTCAATTTCTTGTGTTGTCTGACGTTTCTTCAGACAATACTTTCAATTGTACTTACTTTTGCCCGTTATAGAAAGAGTTGATGTTCAATGAGATGCAAAAATCAATAACTCTTTTTACTGTATCTGCTTTCCTACTCAATACTCACTGTTTCTTGTATCCTTTGAATAGGCTGCCGTCATAGTTGGTTGCACTGGCCGAATATACCATGTTGTATTTGTAGAGGCTGCCATTGCTGGGGTTGTTGATTTCACCGTCCAGGTATACAATGGAGCCGGTCGACAGCGTGCCATAAGGAAACGCATACCTCTAGATGCCAACATTTGTTGAGCCATATTTCGATATTTTATTAAAAATATATTTACTGCACCAAAATACCACAATGTAACTGCTATAAAATGAAGAATAAAAAATATGACAGCAAATTGGTTTCAATTTCCATTTTGATTTTTGCTTACCTCGCTGCAGCCCCGAATGAGATCACTTCGCTTGTTTTTGGTTTGCAAACTTGTCTAGAAACAAATACCAAATGCCGACTATATAAATCTATGCAAAAGCTTTTTTTAATTATTTCTCTTGCAATTGTAAGCTTTTGTGTGGATACAAATTAGCGGCGTAGTTGGTATTAAGCTTTTTCAAATATTTTTTTTTATTTTGTGAAAAATAAAATGACATTTATAATGACAGTCTTGAACGGTATTTTGGGAAGAAATTCAAATTTGAAAATACAAATTTGGCCTACTATTGAATTCATTTTTCGAATCTATAATAGGTGCGTACAATAACTTTTTCAGTTAAAAATACTCAGTAACATTTGTGTGTATAAAAATTCGAAATATTCGGTCCTTGAAAAATCTAACAAATATCCTATCCAATGTGTTTTATATAAACTATCCTTCTATTAGTCACTATATTTTTTCAAATCCACTTTAAAAAATGTACATTATCGTACCTTATTCATATACCATTGCAGCCAAATTTAATTTTGAAAAACTTCTAAATCTTAAAAAATAAATTATATTTGGTTTTTAATTATTCAATAATTATATATTTTTGGTTACATATATTACAAAACGTTTAGAAAAAGTATTAATTTTAGAAAGATTATTTTAATTTTACATTTTTGTTGCTGTATACCCTTCCAATAATTGGGCCAAGAATTTCAAAATTTTATGGCGTGCCTCAACCAGTTGAGGTGGATCAGTTTTAATGGGTTCATACATGTTGGCACAATGGGCAGTACCTATAAGAAAACAAAAATAAATATTAGAAAATAATTTAAAATTAATTTCCAACAACAAACCTTCAATATAAATAGTTGGAGTATTTTTATTTATGGGTTTTATCAAACCCAAAGCATGCCAGGGATCTATGGAACCGTGAACATATAAAACATTTGTAGTTGTGGGTTTCAAGCCCCCATAATAAGCATTGGTTGATGAAATAACCGAATTCAGGTAGTCGGAATTCATGCTAAAATTTTTTAAAATAAAAAAACAATCATTTTCCTAGCTTTTAAATGATAGTTTTGTTCCTTTCTTACTTGTCACCATAAATATCCATACACTGCTTGACAAAGAAATCCAATTTGAAACGATCACCAAATGTATCGCTGGGCTTTTCTGATGTCTGATAGAAACCAAATTCATTGCATGTCTGCCAGGTCCATTGACGTGCCCCCTTGGCCACTTCCGATGTCCATGAAATGTTTTGCATTTCCTTAATCATTTTATCATATTTATAATCTAAACATTTCTCATTGGCCTCTTCTAGAATCATACTATTGACAGCTGCCAAACGTGTAACCGGAGGTCCAATTGTTGTATTCAACATAACATCACACACCTCATCGATGGTAATTTTTGCATGTGGACTGTTGTCTTTATTATATTGTACCACACCAGCAAAATCACTTGCAATATTTTCAAATAAATTGGAAATATCCAAATTGTTTTCAATTGAATCCTTAATGGGGGTACAGGTCCTGTGGGGGAGAATAATATATTATTTTAATATATGTATAAATTTTGAAATTTAATATGGAACTTACTTAAATTTCTCATCCAAAGTACGTTGACCAATCATGTGTTTCAAAAGTATTTCAACTTGGGCAAAACCCTTAGCCACAGCATCAACACATTCGGATTTATAGCTGGCCAATGATGCCTTGACAACCTCAAAGTATTCTACAAAGAAAAATTAATTAATCGTTTAAGAATTTTAAGATAAAAATTGTAATTTTTTACCTGTAAAATCCAATTTTGCAAGTAGTGGTCCACTGGTACTTATGGATCCATATATTAAATCAGGATATTTTTCCCTAGCCCATGCAGCCAACGATCCAGGATAAGAACCTCCAAATGCAATCCATTTTTGTGAGGGTGCCAAATTATATTGTTCCTTCATGGCCAGTACGAATGCGCCCAAATCGGCAAGGGCTTGCTTAGATGTTAAATATTGCAAATTTTCGGTTGAGAGGTCGCTACATGCAAGAATAAACGCATATAATAATTTATTGAATGGAGTTATTTTAAAATACAAATAAACTTCGCAGGTTAACCCTCAGTGGTAACAAAATAATTCTGAGTTGCTATTGTTAAATAGAATTGAAATAAAATGGGAATATTTTCGAACCATTGGAACCTTACATCTCCAGATGTTTCATGATAATAATAACCATGATGTAAAATCCAAAAATGTCTGATGGGTCGGTTGATTTGTTCCCAAATGAAAAACTACAAGGGTACATAAATGCCGACCGACAGCTAATACAGTGGATGGATTCAGATTTAGCTACACATTAACACCTCTGCTACGTCTCTCTCCCGGATTTATGACTTTACCTGAGGTTAACCAACACATGATCTAAATTAACTTTAATTATACAACTCACCTTGTTGGATGTGATTTACCATAGAAACGATGTTCCAATTGAAAACATAATGCACCAAAATGTTCAGCATAATGGATCCAGGCACCTTCACGCATCCATTTCTTTGAGGCCTCAGCTTCACCTGAACAAAAAATAAAGAATACAACATAAATTCCATATAACGATTAGGCCTAAAGGTAACCACTCCAACTTACCACCAATCATCAGGAATATCGGTGCCGTACTATCATTACGATAGTATTCATCATTTACAAAATATCGTTGTTTCCATGTTGGCTTATTTGCGGCATCACTAAAATGATCCAATGGCTGTTCAAACCATAAATCGGGTACTTCACGTTCCCTTTGTAGGGAAGGAATTTTAGTTGGTTCACCAAGGAAACCGTGCCAATAACGTCCCAAATGATAGCGCTTACTTAAGGCTACCACTCCAGTTTTATTATCAGCAAACAAATATAGGCATGCACAGAATAGTAGAATATTCCGCCAGCAGAGATAATGAGAGGCTGAGCCAGGGACGACAGCCATGTTTTTTTTGTTTCTTATTGCTTTGGTCTACGCTTGTCTTCTGTATTCAGTCGTTCAAAACCTCAGTGCAAGTGATATGGAATTGATTATTAAAGCGATAAAGCTGGAAATAAAAATACTATTTGATTGCAATATTTTCTTAGTGTGGATTCAATTTATACAGTTTTTTAGTTAGTTTTTAATTGATTATTGTTTAATTTGCAATTTTTTTGTGAAGGCTTTTCTTTGTCTATGCTTTGCTGCTTACCTCTGTATTTCTTCTTTTGTTTGTTGTATTAGTTTATTTGGTAAATTCGCGAATTTGTACTTTCCATGCAATGGAAAGCTCAACTGTGACCAACCGCCTCAAATGCTGATTTGCGAATGCTTATCATGTCATGTTTCTCGCAAATTGATACGGGCCGGCATAAAATACTCTCAATGCGTTTTGCATTGCAAATTTGTTATTGGAGAACTACAACCGGAGAAATCTTTTCCATTGCTCATCATCATTCTCTTTATCGAATTGTGTGTGTGTGTGCTCTCTTTACTAAGTAAATGGTTATATGGTAGAGTTGTTTTGTTTGTCTTTTTCACAACCCAAACAACACCAAATCAGCTGATATTTTCCAAAATATTTATGAAATGCTCCAGCGTCTGGATCAAAAATAAAAAAGTTTCATTTTCCTGAGATTCTAATCAGTAAATGTTTATCGACAGAAATACCGACAATGACAAATAACTGCATATTTTCATTTGCTTTTATTTTCGTTAAATATCAAAAATGTTCGTTAATAAACGACCAAAATATAGTAGTCGTTAGGACCTACCCACAGATATGAATATGTTGACATAAATCGTATTTTTGTAGGATAGTTACAGAATTGCACAACAGGTATTTTTGATCTCAAATTTAACTCACATTAGGACTATTTGTCCATTTCTTATTGTACTTCACGTATAAATAATAGTTTTTAATTTCGATTTTTAATATTTGTTTCCAATACTACGATTGGATTATCCAATCATCAACGGGGAATTGAAGAATGCTTAGTTGTCCTAATCTTAAGGATCTTCAAAAAAAATTAAAATAAATAGATGGAGATAATCAGGTCACTTTTCCCGGTACCTTCTAGGTTCAACATTTTAAAAAATCTTAACTCTTACATAAAGCGAATGGATTATACGATTTGGTCCTTTTGGGTTACCTAATAATTGATATATATTCTTATGTATCATATATTGCATAAAATGCGAAATAAAGTTCACCGGAGACGGTAACGTCCGCCACTACGGACCTGGTTATATACAAACATTATAAAAAAATCTGTCATATTATAGTCTGAGGGCATGGTATAATTATACATAATTATACCATGGCTTAGGGGATATCTTTGGTAACGGCACTGACATTACCCCTTTATAAATTACCTTCGCCATTTTTTGTTTTGTCGACATTTCGGAATTTTAGGGGATAAAAAACCAACATGGAGAAGATTTTATATATAGGCTTATTAGCATTTTAGATACCCATTAAGTATTTTCAAGGTGTTAGCAACATTTTCCCTGTAATTTAACATTTGTGTTTCTCAGAGGCAATAATACTAACCCATATTTTTCAAAATGGCGACCAAGAGATATTTTATTGCAGGTATTTTAATATTCCTATTTTCAAAAGCATTCTCTTAATTGTCAAACTCAAATATTGATTTGTAAAATATTTTTTTATAATTAAAAATTGTTTTTTAAGACAACCCAAATGTTTTCAAAATCTTCAGTATTTAAAATGGCCTCCACAAATGTGGAAATAGCAAAAAAATGTTTAATACTTATTAACCGACATCGAATACATACAGGCATCCTCAGGCCCAGATTAAGATTAACGCCAAAATCAGCAATACAATCTTGGGGCCTTGATATGTATGAAAAGTTGTCCAACCTTAAAACGATGCGACAAATGAGTACAGATGGAACGAAATCTGGTGATTCGAATAAATCCTTTGAAGAAAAGAAGAATACAAATGAATCGAAAAAAGTGACACAAACTAATTCTAAACATTTGCCAAGTAGCACTGAACAACCGATAGAGGAAGGTGACAAAGGTTCTCAAGAGCCACGTACAGTACTCAAGAAAGTTTTCAAGAAGAGAACTCGTCAGGAATCAAGGGGTAAGATTATTCCTTTTTTGTTGTTTAATGTGTTCCTATTTAATTGTACGTTTTTGGTGTTGTTGCTATTTCAGATGCCCTTAATGATCCTGCTAATATGTTATCACGTCGCCGAGGTGGTAAACGAAGAATTATGATTGTTCAGCTATTGGAAAATACGGAAAATATTGGTAACTTTAATACAATGGGTAGGAGAAATCTTTATAAAATAGAAATATTTCTAGTTAAAATGCATTATTTAAATATACCATATAAATATTGCAGAAAATCCGGATACAAAATCTAAACAGTATAAATTAGAAATACTGGCCGATCATGAAGGAATTGCCAAATCGATATTGACACCAAAGAAAGGTAAAGATATTTAGAGAGGAACTTCATAGTAATTTTCTTTTTTTTATTTTTTAAGTTCACATTGAATATATGGAAGAAGAAAACTTAAAAGATATTGAATTGGAAAAGAAGCCATCAATTAAAAACGAGCCTCCATCCCCAGCTAATGTTGCAATTAGAAGTGATACCAAAAAGGCACTTGTAAATGCCGAAACGGATCAATTGATAAAAATTAAGTTTTCAAAGGATAATCCGGCGACACAGAGCATCAATTCGAAAATAGATTCCAATAAAACAATAGAAAATAATTCGAAAAAGACAGAGGATTTGAAGAGCAAAGACAATTCTACAACAGATATTAAGGGTAAGTTTTATAAAGTTCAGTTGAAGGCAATGAAATATAAGAAATTGGAAGTCTTTTTTCACAATTTCTGACAAAAGTTAAGGCATATGACATTCTTGAGCTATCCAATATCAAAATGTGTATCAAAATTTTATTTTATTCATATAGCAATCGATCCTGCCGCTTTGAAACCTGTCACAGAAGTTTCTGTAAAACCAATGCAACATTACAAACCATTGGATTTGAAATGTAAGTTTATTCACGATAAATAGAATCCAGTCGCTTGAAAGGTATTTGTTTTTGTATTGTCATATCTGGGTTTTCGTAATTACATCTTCCTATGTTTTACCAGTATTTTTTTGAAATGTATTGTGACGATTTTAAAACTCACCTTGTCAATTATGTGTTTTTTATTTATTCTTCTTATTATTGCAGATGAAAAAACTTCAAAACCAACGAAACCTTTAAAACAGTCATTAGAATCAAATTCATTACTACCAGATATAACTAAGGATAAACATCCAAACCAATCCAAGCTACTTAAAGATGACACTCAATACAATAAATTAATGAGTGAATCTAAGACGACTACCAATTCGAGTGATGCTGCAAACAATAATTCAATATCTTCGAATAAAATTAACTTTACCAAAGATGAAATTAAATTGAACAATTCAAATACGAAATCAAACCATAGTGGTGAGTATTTAAAAATTAATTCGTTAATTTTTTATTAGTCTAGGTTTATACATGCAACTTTTGTAAGCAACTCTGCTGAGAAATTTAAATGAGAATCGTAGTGAGCAGCAGCAGAGTTGTTTAAAAAAAATTGCATGTATAAACCCAGACATAGCAAAATACTAAACTAATTAGTTTTTTTTTCATTTAATTGTCAAAATAGCTGTTAACAATATAAAAGATTGAAATTAAAACAGTTAAAATAAATAATTTATTAACGCCCTTTTTATTTAGTTCATATCGTAGAATCCAGATTTAATAATTAATATATAAAAATCTAACATTTCGTTAACAGATTCAATATTTCTGATGTCCCTGCCATCCAAAGAAGAAATAAAACAAGCCAAACAAACAAAAAATATCGCAGAACTTCCCAATAAAGCGACAATAAAACCAATTTCAACTCAAAATGATTTATTAAAGGACAATGTTAAGTCCTTGCCTAATGTAACAGCAAATAAAAATGTTCCAAAAACTAATACCCAACAACCTTTAAATGATAACCCAAAGGTGGATGTAACAGATCGAAAATCGAATTCGAATAAAACACATATACCAAATATTGGTGAGTCTGTGCATTGAAAAAAAATAAAATGAAATAAAAAAATTAGTCTGATTTGATTTTTTTCAGATCAAAATCCTGTTCATAGTAAAAACTCTGTAAAAAATTTGAATGTAAATGCAGCCTCTAAATCAATGGAATCTATTAAATCGGATGACATCAAGAATTCATCATCTTCGACAAGTAGTAAGTAATTGCAAACACACAAAAATCCTATAAGACGAACTTAACAATTGAACTGACTGTAATTTTGGATATTGAATGGTAAAAGAATTTCTTGCAGAAAAATTATTACAGTATGGGTGTCATTTTGGATATTTTTCAAAGTAAATGTAATTGGTCATATATGGTTCCTAACGGATAAAGGGAAGGTTGCCAGGCATATATAGATCAATGTTTTGACACATAACAGCCACGTTCTTGTATACCCTTCAGGTGTATATTAAATTTGTCATTTCCTTTGCAAAACCTCAAAAGATTCACAAGAGTCTCCATAAAGTATATATGATCAAAAAACAATTATGTAAATTGTTTAATGTCTGTCTATTGAAATCACTACTCTAATTATGAAAAATTCGGGATTTAGGTATTGCCCCCATATAACGTTTCCCATAATATTCCGAATTTCAATAAACCGGACAGTTTTTCAACCTAATTGGAATAGTTCTCTCTTTTCGGTTTATCTTTGCATATATTCACCATTAAACAGTACCGCCCCATTTTCTCAGAGTATAAACAACCTACAAGCAGATTGCTTGCAATGTCAAAGCCCTCATATAAATGTACACCCCATTGGGGACTATATAAAGACCACATTAGGGAATATACCCTATTTAACTTCTTCATATTTCTTGGCACTTTACCTGTTCTCATTATTTTTTTAATATTGTTTTCATCCGCAGAATGTCCAAAAAATATGTTTGGCGATTGCATGACAACGGAACAATTAAAACAAAATCAAGAGAAATTAAAAATATTTCAACAAAAGAAAGACATGTTGAATAAAGGTGAGAGGTGAGAAATATAAATAATAATTAAGAATAGATTTCACCCAGTTGTAGTGCGTAAAAAAAAGATTTGATACATTATAACTATAAGCGGAATTTTGACATTTTATTAAAAAGAATAAATATTTTGAGTTCGATTTGATTTAAATCATACTTTTAATATATTTCATTAAATTAAAACAAATATACGTAGAGTTGGGCAAAAAAACCTTAACGCCAACATAAGGACTCCGACTCCTCATACCTGATTGATAACAACGTACATAATAACATACAAATGATATGATAATTTCCATTGTTCTCAACTATTATTAAATGAATTATGTTCCATTTAAATTGTATTACAATAAAGTGTGTGATTTAATTTAATTTTATTTTCCAGAAAACAAAATGACAACAAAACCAACAAAAAACCTTGGTATCCCAGATGGTGGAAATCGAAGTAAACCAAAGGGATTCAATAGCGCTAAAGGTATACATTCCAGCATACATATCCATAACATGTTAACATTTACAAATATTAACTAGGAACCAATAATAAAACCTGGAACACCTTTACAATCTCCATCATTTATATTGGTATTAGTTTGATGTTTTATGGAATTCTAAAGACAAACAATTCATTAAATTTGTTGCAAAACTTTTTGCGATCACTTCAAGAACTACACCAAGAAGAAAAACTTATTGTGCAAACGGCATTGTACGAAAAGGATGTGAAGAACACAAATACCAAAGATGATGACGCCATAGATAATTCACCACAGAAATTGGAGGCCATTGAAGCCGAAACCAAAATTGTTAATAGTTTAAAAGAAGTGTAACTTGAAGACAAAAAAACAAACACTTTGAATTTTTATTTTGATATAATTATTGTAAAAACAATATATAAATTCGAAATTGTAGAAGTCATATTTCATATTTTTTTTAAATTTCTTATCAACGAAAATGTCAAGATTTCTATCAAAATTATTCGTGATAGATACCAAATCCTTTTGGAATTGTAATCAGAAATTTAATGGAAGCATTAAGCGTAATCTGAGTACCAAATTAACAAACAAGCCCAAGAATACAAATTGCAATTACCGTGGATCGGCAACCAAATGCCCACCATGCTCGGAAAAATCTAAAAATGGAAACTTCATTCGGGATAAATGCGATGTGTTTGATAAACCACACGCCAATAGCAAACCCTATCGCATTTTATCCTTTTGTATGTTTCCCATTATTATCGCATTGGCCATAAATGTTTTCGGATCACCCCATGAAGAAATGGAATTAGAATATGTCCCATATGAATATATGTATCGACGTCTAAAACGTTTTGCCTGGGCAGATGGTCAGAAAACATTTTTCCATGGCCCTAATAATCTGTTGCCAAACGAAGAAACTTACAAGCCGGAACTGAAACGTAATATTGATGAGGAAAATCTGAAAAGACGCAAGAAATTACGTGAACAGCATGCCAAAGAAGAATTAGAAAGGCGAAGAGCCAGGCATGAGGGAAGAGCATGAGATGAATTTTGGAAATAGTAACAAGTTAGAATTCAATTTTCTAATAATAAAATATGATAACAAAATAAAAGTTTGGTGATGAAAATCAGAGTCATTGATAAAATAACTTTAGAATTTCAAATTTTTTAAATATTCTTCAAAATCCACGCCCGCATTTACCTTGTCATGGCATGACTATACAAAGTAGTCTCATGACTAGGGGCATGACTATACAAGGTAGTTTTATAGACAGGGAACTTAAGACTATTAATAAATATAAATGATTCAAAATTTTTTGCAAGATTTGCGTACATTTCGAAGGAAGATATTTTGGTTTTAATTTTGAAAGCTGAATGTTGTCAAAAGCAAATTTATGAAAAAATTGGAAACATATGAGACTACCTTGTATAGTTATGCCATGTTACCTTGTATGGATCTCTAAAAATATATTTTTTAAAAAACCACGCCTATAATAGTCTCTAAAAATATTCTTAAATAATTACACGCCTGTATTGTTCTCTAGATAATGTTTCATTAAATTTTCATTTTTGGTCCTTGAAAAATTATTCTTTAAAAATCTTGAAAAATATATTTTAAAAATCTTTAAAATAGGTCCTTCAAAAATATTCTTTAAAAGCCCCACTTATGTATTGGTCCATGTAAATGTTGTTAAAAAATGTACGTCTTTTTTTGTTCCATAAAGAAATATATTTAAAAAATCTACACTTGTAAAATATTTCTTTAAAAATCGTTGAAAAATAGTCCCAATTTATATTAGGCGAGTTTAATTGCGGCAAGTCTTTGTTTGAAGGAGAGAGGGGCAAGGGGAATAGAACTTGAAATAAATTGCTCGTACCGACAATTTTCTGGCAATTCGTTTTGTGAATTTTGTTTGTAGTGTCAGTAATTTAACAATCCAGAACATTGTCAAAAAAAATATATTTTTGAAATCGAATTGCCTTGTATAGACGAATGAAGCAAGTTCAAAAGAGAACGATAAAAATTGCCGCAAGTAAACTCGCCTAATATAAATCAGGACATATACGGCATTTACATTAGAACTTTTTACCGGGTTAACCTACTTTATGAGGATTTATTTGGCATATATTCAAAGGAATTGAAAATTTAAACCCACTGGGTTAACCAAATCCGGTTAAATGTAAACGACCTTATATATTTTAAAAATATAGTTCACGACGCAGTTCATTTATTGGGAAACCCTACGAATCATATATGACTTTCAAATGACATTAGGATTTTTTTATATTTAATTTTCTAGAAATAACATTTGTTTTTTTTTCTTTCAAGTATTTTTTAAAAATTAAAATGTTTAGTTCAATTTCGAGACGTTTGACTTCTTTTTTACCAAATATACGAAATTTCCCATTTCAATTATATTCCAATGTAGCAAAATCTCCAGAACATCCCATTAAGGGTCTTAGCGCAAAAAAGAAAACCAACGGTAAACAGAAATGGAATAAACAAAAATTCCAATCAAAGCTAAAGCAATCTGGTAGTGGAGCATCCATTGCGAAAACCTCTAAATGTCAGTGGCCAGATTCGATTGGTACCAAAGATAAACCTCCAATTAAAAAATCACCCCCAACATCTCATATCAAGGACAAGTGTGATATTTTTGAAGTTCCTAAGGGTAGTAGTAAATGTTTTCGTTTAATTTCATACTGTCTGCTGCCATTAATTGGTGGCCTATCGGGATATGTCCTTACACAACACGAAGAGAAAGAACGTACATTTGTACCCTATGAATATATGTATAGACGTTTGAAACGTTTTGCTTGGGGAGATGGCAAGACGACATTCTTCCATGGTCCTAACAATTTTCGTCCAGAAAATGAACAATATGAAGCAAAACCTAGAAATTTTGAGGAGGATTTTGAAGTACGGAAGGCTTTAAGGGATCAACATGCCAAAGAAGAAATGGCAAGGAGAAAATCAAGACATGCCAAGAATAAAAAGAGTAATAATAAATGAAAAATAGAAAAATTTAAAATACAAAAAGATTTCAAAAAGGGATCGAGATAATAATTAAATTTAAAATGTTTATAAATTATTAGAGTAAACCATAAATTATTTAGTTTTTTGTATACCTGTATATAATTTTATTAATAAAAAATATATATCTGTATTATAAAATAAGTCTTTTCTTCAAATTCTCCTCCCTCAACATTTTTTAACATCTATATGCTGATTGACACAATTCATTTCAATTTTCTTTTGCATATCCACCGGTGGACACTCAATTAGATTGACATTATTTTTGGGTGTATTTGCCACCAGTTCAGTGATATTTTCACGTCGTTGACTATTATTACTGCGAGCACTGGCCCTTTGTTCCATAGTTTCCGATTTTAATTTGGAAGAGATTTTTAATTGATTGAAATCCGATAGAGGATTACTGGAGCCGATGTTCTATTTGAAAAGAAAATCAATTTAATAGGTTATTTTAGAATAAAATGAGACAAGTATTTACCTCTGGCATATCCCATATGATAATGCAACCATCTGAACATCCAGACACAAAGAATTTACCACATGGACTAAAGGCCACACTTTTTACGGCAGAGGCATGTTCACTGCCCTGGGCAACAACTATACCACGATTGTATTCCCAAAGCTAGGTTATAAAAAATAGGAAATATAAATTGAATGAAAATGAATTGCAAAATTTGAAGATCTGTAAACTCTAATAGAACTTTTTGTCGAATCGGACTCGTTTCGTTGTGTATCGTGGATGAAAAAGTCATTGGAACAATTTCACAACTCTCAACTCACCTTCACCATTTGATCACTGCCCACCGAAACAAAATAATCACCCGTAGCATTTATATCAATATGATTTACAGATGATTTTCCCGAACCTTGAAGTTCTCGTATTAGACTACCATTATATACGGCCCAGTAACGTATGCGACCATCAGTGCCACAAGTCAAAATTTGAATGCCGGTCGGGAAATATTTCGCTGTCATAAATTGAGTATTTGCAGTTATGACATTTTTACGGGTCATGCGACTGCGCAACAAACCATATCCGATTAAAATATTTAATTTTTTTAATAAAAAAATCTTTGAACTTACTTTACATCCCATATAACACAAGAACCATCACAGCTGGCGGAGATCACTTCAGTATCGGTATTATTAAAATCCAATGATGTAATGGGACCCGAATGATCTTTCAGCACACCAACAAGACTTTGACGAAATGGTTCAATTTTCCAGACGCGTACTTGACCCTCAATACCGCCAGTAACAATAATACGTCCCGAGGATGATATAGCCAAGGCACTGCAACCTAAAATTGAGAAGTTAAAATAAACCCCTTCAAAAAATACGCTTCATCGTTCCCCGATATTTTTATTTTCAAGGCCTTGGAGTATATTTAAAAAAAAGTATTCTTAAGAAGCCTTTACCCGCAGGCCTTATACGCCCCTATTAAAATATTGTTTTTTAATCCAGGTTTTAACTTATGAAGCCATCAAAAAATATTCTTTAGAATATTCACGTTTCCGCATTTGAAACGATTCCTTAATAAACCCACTCATGTTATCTATTAAATAACTCCTGAGAGTATTGTATATACAGAAATCCGATTAACAGATATGTTTGTCACAAAACTAACTTGTATTAACTAATTAACCTCACCCTTATTGTGAGCATTCGGTATGGCATAAATCAATCTTCCGGTGATGGGTGTAAAGGCCCGTATAACACCATCATTCCACACCGATACCAGGCTACTACCATCATTGGTAAATGCTAGATCTGCACACTGGAAATTATATACCATAATGCGCAATAATTCCTGTAAACGTTTTGTGGACCAGATGCGTATGGTTTCATAGCCGGCTGTGGCGAACACCGATGAAAGGTTTCTGTTGGAACAACGAAATAAAATATATTATTCGGACTTCTTCCTCTGTTGCATCTTCCTTACTTGGGGAAAATAATATTGTGGACTGCCTCCCTGTGCGAGGTCTTTAGCAATTTCAAAGTAAATAATTTGATATTCAGCAAATAGATTTCATTGGCTTCGGTGGCAATGTAATACTCAATGGGTGTTATTTGAACCATGGAGGTAATTGCACCATTAACTTTTGTTCTTTTCAGCTGGAAAATAATAACCAACGATAATATTTTTCGATTGTAATGGAGCGAAAAATGTCCTTACCGTTTTCAACATTGGCCAGGTGGGACTTGGATAATTTTTAAAACTTGTCTCCTTGATATCTTTACGTTCTTCGACCAATTCAACCGTTCCATCACCTGCACCCATTAGCAACAGCCCATCGTCGACAATATAAACCACTCTCAACCCGTTTATGTAACGATTGCAGTCTTTACCAAATGGTTTCCTTGGATTATGGGTTCCATATGCTCCCATCATAGACGAGAACGTTCCGGATCTTGTGACATTATTGGTATCACAACAGTTGAGTATAATTTTAATAACATCTCCACTAAATGTTCCCAAATAGACATATTCATCCCGACGATCTATGGAAATGCTGGTATAGCGTCTTTGATGTTTACCCACATAGACATCATGGACATTGACTTTTTTCATTTCCCTCTGAATACTCCAAATGCGAAGATGTCCTTGTTGGAAAAATGATACATTTTATATGTTTATATCAATGGTACATACATATAGATATACTTACGATCGCCTGCAGTTAAAAAGAACGATGGGTTATCATGCAGAGCCCTTACAATAATGGCATTGCCATTAATGGATCTCGAGGCCACAGATCTACAAATTGGTGTACTACAAGTAAACACATTTTTAAATTAAAAAAATCATATGTATTCAAATTTATTTCGAACTTACAGTGTTGCAATATCAAAAACAATTACAGAACCGTCATCTCGTCCACCCACGGACACTACATACTTATCGTGTGCCGTAAAACAAATGGATTGGACACGAACCTGCAAAGATTTAAAATCACCATTTAGTATCAATGTTTGTGAAAACCCAGCTGGCATATATTGGGCGGTCAAAACGTCTACCATCCGTTTAGCCCTAAAATCCCAACCATAAAAAACTTGATTTCAGTTCCAAACTTACCTTGTGTAAATCATGTCTGGCCAATTCTTTACGTTCATCAAAATCCCACAAAATTACATAGCCTGGAAAGCCCATATTATTTATTTGACCCGAAGCCATATAACGACCACTTAAATAAAAGAGTTATTATTAAATACCATTCGGTAGTTTTTTCTTTAATTTTTAAATGAAATTACTTACCTTCGACTTATATCCAAACATGATATATTATTGGTGTGACCACCAATAAATTCCTGTTTATTTGTTTTTGTATCATCGATACCGATTTTAGTGCCCAATGGATATATAATATGCCGCTTGTCCGGATGCAAGTGTAAACCAAATTCTACTTTACCATTTATACCAAAAATTGCCCGCGGCTGCAAACGTTTCGTTTCAATTAGTTCAGAGGACATGTTACTTTTATTAAATTTTTAAAAAATATATATTTTTTCTTTAAGTTTTATTTAAAAATCCTAATACTAATATTGCACTTATTTTTCAATTGCCTTCAGTCTTTTTGTTTTGTTTGGAAAATGAAACGTTTATTGCCTTGCAAGGCCTTGTTGTCTAATTTGAAATTTCGATATTGTTACCAATGACAACAAATAAAAATCGTTATTTAATGAAAATAAAAAAACAATTGTTTCAGTTGTAAAAGGACGCCAAACAAAAAACTGTTGCTAGGGTTTGCAGAGGACCAGCAGGTGCTTTTAAATTGGAAATTTTGGAAATTCAAGGGTATCTGAATTAAGTTAAAATTGAGATTTTCATTTTATTTGTTTCATTTTTTTAATGTTTTGAAATCGAAGAGAATGGGGATCTGAGAAATGATAAATAAAATAACAAAATTTGAAACATACTTTTAGGCGTGTATATGAATGATATATGTGGTCTGTTCCAGTACTTTTTTAATAGTAAAGCTAGTAAAAGGGAAACATATCAAAATCGTTCTCAAATAATTTGAAAAGTTTGAGAACTCAAATCTACTAAATATGCCAAAATTAGATGACAATGCTTTAAAATATACATAACAGCCAAACAGAAAAAATGTTTTACAATTGTTGTGGGTTCAGGAACGGTTTTCGAGTAAAAGGTTGCAAAACTTGTAAAAATAGTAGATTCCTTTAAGTTCTGGACCTAAAAGCCTGGCTCCGGGAAACGGAAACGGATCCAGCATTTCAAACATAACGCCAGGTTGTGACCTCTTCAGGGGGAATAGTCATATTAGCGACTATGTTCCCTCTCATAGGGACTTTAATGACATGAAAGTTGAGTTTCCTAGTAGGGAATCCTGGACCCGTGGTTCCTTACCTCTGCCAGGTCTGTCATTCTTTAAAGACGGGTCAGAGATGGAGGCCTTTACTGTAGGGAATTAGGAACATATAACTCATATAAACTCAACAATCTCTGTAGCGTTTTTCAAGCAGAGATTCTTGCAATCACGAAAGCGGCCGAAAAAGTAAAATCACTTAATGCCGACATTACGGGACCGGTGACTATATATGTCGATAGTCAGGCGGCCCTTAAAGCGGTGTAGTCGCGTACTATAAACACAAAAGCGGTTCATGATTGCAAGTCGGCTTTGAATGATATACGACAGATAGTTAGTTTATGTTGGGTTCCAGAACATAGCGAAATTGAAGGGAATGAGATATCCGACGAGCTTGATCGAGAGGGCTCACAGTCGTCCAATCTTCCGATTGAGAGATCTGTGAAACCTCCCATCGGCTATTTCATTGGCAGAATCCGTGCGTTCTACTGCGAGGTAGTCGGCAAAAGATGGCTAAGAGAACCTGCTTGCAGAATCTCAAAATCTATCTGGCCTGAATTCTCTCGTAAAATAACGTCTTCGCTGCTGACACACAATAAGAGGGAGATCAAAATCATTGTGGGGATCATACCAGGTCCCTACAAGATTAGATCTCTCACTTCGAAGTAGGACTCCAGTGGAGAGGATTACTGTTGTCTATGTGAGGACGAAGAAGAACTGGAAACAATTGAACTCATCCTCTGTAAATGTCCTTCGCTGTTTAGCAGAAGACATAAACAGTTTGCATGATATGAAATTCTCCAAAATAGACCCAAACCAGATCCTAGGCTTTGTCAACAATTTGACATGGCTAAAATAACCTTTCTTCCGCTCTTCTTCTCTCAATATCTTTTCTCCTTGTTCCTCCACTCTCTCTTTTTCTTTTCTTTACAGGTAATATAAAAGGATGATCACAATGGACATAGTCTCCGAGTGGACGGTTGTTATTAACAACCGTACATCCCTAACCTAACCTTTAAGTTCTGAAACGAAACTAAAATCTATCTTCTTCTAGAATTCTACTGAGCAAAGTGAACTAAAGAAACTAGATAAACGAATGAGCTGGAAATCGTTCCAATCGTTCATTTAACGGCATAGTTCCATTGGACTAGTTCATTGCGGAACTACACAACTCTAATGTCAAAAGTCGACTTATATACCCCTTAAATCGCACAACATTTCATTTGATTTCTGATTAACAAGGGGGAGAGTAAAGAGTTCGCGACTTCGCTCAATAAGTGTAAAAAATCCCTGATATCAAAACGAAGACGAAAAAAAAATAAAATATTAAATGAAAATTGTATACAAATATAAATACCATTTTTATAATCATCCTAACGTTACAAACCAAATCTTTTTTTAAAAAGTCCGCCTGTATAAAAAAAAAAATATTAAAAGAATTCTAGAGAATCCCTTCAAATTCTCCCGTGAAAAATAAAAGTGTTAAACCCTCCCAATAATCCCCCCTTTTAAGTGTGTGTTTTGTGCATGTTATAGCAAAAAAAAAGCAACAACAACGACACAACAAAAGAGAGAAAAAAAAACAAATTAAAAAAGAACTTCCTGTCTTCTAAGAAATTTGAAGATAATACCAAAAAACGAACGCGATAGAGTCCAAAATTGAAAACAGAAAATCCATTAACGAAGTAGACAAGAAGTTCAGATATACGTCGTCAAAAAAAAACACACTTGATAAAATTTCTATTCATTTGGATAATCAAAAACCGACAATGAGTGCCATGAAAGTTTGTTGTATCGGCGCGGGTTATGTTGGTGGACCCACTTGTTCTGTAATGGCTTTGAAATGCCCAGACATAACAGTGACAGTTGTGGATAAGAGTTCTGAGCGTATAGCTCAATGGAATTCTGATAAATTGCCAATATATGAGGTAAGTTGCTGGTTTTTATTGACTCGAAAGTTTATTCATGATTTCTTTTATTATTTATTTGGCTTTAGGCATTTTGTGTGTGAATGAAGATAAATTAATGGTCAATTACGATAAGACTTTTGAGGTGCTGGAAATGTGAGGTGTTTGTTTTCGTATAAAGAAGGAGAAAAGAATTCTCACAACACCTGTAGCAAACTGGTTTTGATTTAAGATTTTTTTGGGGGAAAAGTTGGGTGGCGTTGGGAGATGGCGGGAACGCTCAACATAACGAAATTCCATTCCTCGGTTTGCTTGTTTGTTTAGATTTAACGTTCATTGACATTGATGCGGACAATTTTAATGAATTTTGTTGGCCTTAACAGCATCGCAACCATCAATGGCCAGTCAATTGGTTTTTATTTCTAAGATTGTTGTTATCCAATGGAAATCAAAACTCATAACTAGCCCATGTTAAGGTTTACCTCCATTCAATTGTGTATAGTTGACAGGCGTGTATAGGCCCATACAACTTATATTACTGGCTCACTTGTTAAGTGTTTGTCTCGACTTCTTCAATATATTTGAAAGAATTTCTGTTCTCCAAGACAGGCCTGAAATATGAAATGCATAACAAGCTTCTGCGCACACAAGGTCAATGTAATATAAGAGGAATTTGTTTGTTAAACTGTGGCGGTGGCCTTAAATGACACCTAAGCAATAATGTATAATATTGCGCTGAATTGCTTGTTGGGATTTTTCTGTGAAGTACTGAAACATGTCAATGGCCTAAACGTCAAAGATACCACGAGGTTGTTATATGTGTCTAGACTTGAATGGGGAAAAATATGTTTATTAAAGCACAAGTATGCAAAGTTAGTATTATACTTTTTATGGAAGGGGAATATCCCGATTTTTTTTGTATTTTTCATTTGTATATTTTTTTCATAATTTTGATAGAAATTTAATAGCGCGATGACAATATTATATAACATTTATATGACATAACAGTTATATCTAGAATGTAGAAACAAATTTTATATTTTGTAAAATGTATGATTCTTTCTTTAACATTTCGATCATCTTGAAAGAATTTGGAGGGAAAAAATGAGCCCTCTATATTTGCAAATTTGGACAAAATCATATTCTTTATTCTTTTTATATGATATAGGACACAAGCTCTTAAACTCCGCATTTTTTATATCTAAACTTAAAAAAACTAAAAATCCCTATCTTTAAATGTGAATAATAAATATTTTGAACAATATTGTCATCTATCTCGCTGTACAATTTAATTAAACTAACTAAACTAAGCTCATATACGAAAACATAAGACTAGCGAGATTATACATTTTTTCTTATGAAAAATGTTAGGCACGTCGATACGTTAAAATAAAATAAAAATTTTTCATTCAATGGTTTTCATATTAGTGGACAATTTTAAAAATATATTTTATTCTGCATTTAAGAACAAAAGAGTTTCGGTTGTATAGTCTTTTAGTTAGCCTATGATTGTTGAAAAAGCATTTTGTTATGGATCATAAATAAGCTCTAAAAATTCCAATTACTATATACCTATATAAACAAGTAAAAAAGAGTCAGTCGGCTTTGTCGACAAATATATACTCCAGCCTACGACATATCTAGTACACATTTATCCCGAGGGTTTTCGGAATCACTGTCAATTAAATTACGACATTTGTCTGTGTTTTTTGTATTGTGGTGTATGTATTAATTTTAGTGAAAAAGATTTTTGTGTGTTCTTGTTTTAAAAACAATTCCCAAACAAACATGTTTTTGATAACATTATTATTTTATCTTCATAGAATTTTGCCACGCAGATATTTTACAGTTTTTGTTCTGTATATTTTTTATCTAACTGCTGTTTTATTTTTGTTGTTGTATTGTTTTATATTATTATGACGTATTTCCTTTATTAAATAAACACCAGCATTTCCAGATAATGTTTTGTATGAAAAAATACGATTATAAAAATGTTATTCGTTAATCAGTATTTTTGTTTTTATTAGAAACAGCTGTGTATTATTGTCATGGTAACAGATAAATGCATTTGCATAAATGCACTTTCTAAATGGTTTTCAATTTATGGTTATAATATCACATATAAAGAATATTTTCACTTTCATAGAAAATGTTTTATAATACACTTTAAGCTCATTCGATAACCACCACATCCTATTAAAGAGAAAATTGTATTATTTACATTTTTGAAAAAAAAACTTTATTCATTGCTTATCGAAGTAGAACTGTACATAAAACAAGGCAAAACTTTCAAAATTAGATCATTGAACTTCTTTTTCTAAGGTGTTAATTAATGTTCTTGGAAACAATTCTAACTGTATGCCCTATAAAGTAGGGTGTATATTACTTTTTTTCATTTCGTTTGAAACACCTCAGATTTTAACCAAATCCCTTTAAATTTTTTGTATTTAAATTAACATTGCAGCTTAATAATGGTTTAATATTAATTAATTTCTATTGACCCTTGGATGTTTGTTATTGACACGATATTTCATCGGTTAAATTGAAACGTTTTTTTAATACAATTTTAAATTAGAAAAATCCTTCTCTCTTCTTGTATATTTGTTGCATCTTAATAATAACTATATGTACTTGCTATTTGGTCGCTTAACAAAAATAAAAATAGGTATATATTGATCAATATAGAAATTTTGTTGTAATTTGTTCATTGATAAGATAGAAACTTATCTAAAAATTGTTGTCACCTATATTTAAAGAAAATGCAACATATTGTCAATCTAATAAATTGACAATACAATTAATAGGAAACGAATGGGGAAAGGTTTCAAAAAAATCTTTAAGGCCCATACACTATAAATCATGCCGTCATGCCGATGAACCCCTTTTTGTATATGTGAGATTGACTAGTGTATGGCAAACTCTTCAATCACTATTCCAATTTTGTCCCAAAAATTGCATTTTGAGTCGTAAATTCAGTTGTTTTTTATTCCGTCACAATTTTATTATTTTTGTACACAAAATTATTTACTGACAACTTTCAAAATGAATATTATTCACCAGATTGATAGGGGTTCATTTTCAAAATCAAAACTATTTTGATTTTGTTCATGTATATTTTAAGTTGACTTTGTCGTCGTCTCGATGAAGTTTTGACAGGAGCCGCCTTTGTATAGACGTGCATAGTTTCATTCATACTTACACACAAACTCAAGTTTTGTTCGGGAAGATGAATGAAATTTCTTATCATAGACTTTACTTGGAAGCTACTGTTAAGAAATCTATTACTATAATTTAGTCTTCTCCAATTTCACATTTTGTACATTGTTTCTTTGGACTTGGCACCAGTGTTACCGCTGGGAATATTTAAAAGAGTTGCACAAAAATTATTTTCTTTAAAAAAAAAGTCGCACAGAATCATAAAATTATCAATAAAACTGCTCAGAGAATATGTCTGAAGCCCTTAGCACTCAAAAATACGTAGACGAATCCAAATTAGTTTCGCACAAAGCTTAAAAAGTTGCACACAGAGTTACAGGGCATCGAAAAGTTTGCAACTTGTGACTTTAGTAGCACAACGGTAACCCTTCATAGCACTATTGAAGTTTGCTATAATTGTAGCAACTAAAATCCTGTTCGAATTCCTGATGTTTTCAACTTATACTTGGTTTAGTGGAATCATTCCGTTTGCAACGCTTCGAAATATTCGGAAATCCCATGTTTTTGATCTGATTAAAATGCTATGTCGATTTAGCTCTGTCCGTCTGTTGAAATCACAAATTTTGTACATAAATTGTTATTATTCCTAGGATGTTTGTAATCTGAAATAATATATCGGTCCAATTTGAAGGGTAGCCATGTAATAGTGGTACCTTCCTAATTTCGGTAATTTAAGGAGTTTAAACTCATTTTCACCAAATTAGCTGTAGCAAATCGTGCTTACCCGGGTCCCCCCGAAATATTTTTTTTAAATATGTATTTTTGCTATGAACATTTTCATATAATTTTAATAACCTTCAAATTGAGAACGAAGTAGGTTCAATACTGACTTCTCCATGTCTACTTTTAATTTTTTATCCTTTATTAGATTAAGCACTTCATATGCATTTTATAATTTATCTTTAATGGGCCTGAAGGCTTTGAATTATAAGTTAAATAAAATTGAATTGAAAAAAAAAAAAATGATTTAAAAATAGACAACAAATTCTATTAATGGAAGATTCTTCCAGGTACCGGAACAGGGTAATAGTTTTGTAGTGTATGAAAAAATTAAAAAAAAAATGAAACTACTTCATTTCTGAATAAACACAATATTAATGTACTGATAAAAAATTAACAAATTTTCTTTTGTGGTTTTCAACAATGTTTCTGTTTTGATAAAAAAATAGACGAATTTCCGATTAAATTGTTTTCCGCCAATCATGCCGTGGATTGAAAAAAAACACTCACCCACCCTCCATACACATACCGACACACAAATATTTTGTATGACTTTATAATTTATTAGAAAAATAAATAGCACACCATAGATACAAGTTGTTCTTTTCTTCATCATACAAAATTAAAAAAAAAATCAACAACAACAATTGTAAAGCTGCAATTGTTATCATTGGAAGAGTATACACCACGTAACAGAATGGAATAACAGCAACAACAGAACACAAGTACCAACTACTAAATTCAATTTATTTAAGTAAATACATGTCTGACTGGCAAAAAATACGCAACAACATATCATGAAATGTGCAAACAAATAGAGTTCGAAAAAAGATCTTCTTCTAATGAAAAAGTGTGGGTGCGACGATGGTTAATATTTTAAATGTTATTTGGTTTTGTATTAAACACAAGATCATGCAGAGTAATTAAATTATAAATATATGTTTACCCTAGCAACAAATTATATTATTTATGTAAATTTCGTTAGCACAGCTACAATACTATTGACCTTATTAATTAATATTCTATTTTACAAAGTCATAACAGCAACATTGAAACGAGAAAAAAAATATTCTCATTGTACGTCCGCGTCTTCACACCACCAGCTATTGTTGTCTGGTCATAACTACAAACATTGGAAACACATAATAATCATAGTGGGTCTTATTTGGCTATTGAGTTTTTTTGGTGTCCAATATTTTTTTCATTTCGTTATAATTTGCATGCATGGCACGTTTTTATCAAAAATTCTTGAAATAGTTCAATACATGCTTCGATTTTTTAAAACTTCAAAATGGCTTTGTTGTGTGTTTTTTTTTCTTCTTGATACTTTGTTAGACATGTTTTAAGAATTATGTAAATTTATTATTGACTTACATAAAGAGTTAATTAAAACAGAAGAATATTAAACCATTTAAGGTTGTGACTTATGGTTAATAATAGTAATAATTACATGACACTAACAAGGAAGTGTTTTGATTCAAACAAATTAACCTTAAACGTGGTTAATACAAAATTCATTTGGAATATTAAAATATCATAAATAACATTGAATCAAAAAAATAATAAAATGCAATTAATTAATAACCTAAATAAATTCAGGATGCATATTTAGTTGTAAAATATATCTAGTAACTAGGTCAGACAACTACCCCAATAGTGGTTAATTCGAATTTTATTATAAAATAAATGATATTGTGTTATTAAATAATATATAATAAAAATATTTTCAAGGAGCTATGAGATTTAATTTCTGAAAAAAAACTATTTTTAAGTATCAAGTATTTTTTAGGTATTTGTACAAAGTACATAATGTACATCAGGACTAATGCTGTAAGAAAGAAGCTTTTTTAAAACAAATATTTTATTAAGACTAAATATAAGAGTGTATTAATGAATATCCATTAAAGGATCGATATAAATCATAATTTGTAAGTGATTTATTTTAATCCAGGATTTTTTTAATTATATTTGTTTCTTTCTACTCCTTCTAGTATCGCCTCTCGATATGATTGTAAACAAAGTACAGGTCGCATTTATGATTCAAATTGGATGAAATTTGTCACAACCCTTTTATTTGGCCCAAGGACAAACCCTATTGAAATTGGGAAAAATCGGTTCAGATATACATATAGCTCCCGTCCGATTTAAGGCAAATTGTGCACCAAAGCCCCTATATATTTTTCGATTTGCGAGAAATTTGGTATAGCGTACTGAATTAAGTCTACAATGATGTGTGCTAAGTTTCGTGAAAATCGGTTCCGATTTAGATAGATATAGCTCCCATATATATTTTCGTCCGATTTAAAGTAAATGGTGCACCAAACCCCCTATATATCTTTCGATTTGCACGAAATTTGGCACAGCGTACTGAATTAAGCCTAGAATGATGTGTGCTAACTCTCGTGAAAATCGGTTCAGATTTAGATATAGCTCCCATATATATTTTGGTCAGATTTAAAGTAAATTTCGATTTGAACGAAATTTGCCACAGTGTACCGAATTAAGTCTAGAATGATGTGTGCTAAGTTATGTGAAAATCGGTTCACATTTAGATAAATCTCCCATATATATTTTATTCCGATTTTACATAAATGGTGTACCGAATTTCTAAAGTTTGTCCGATTAACACGAAATTATGCACAACGTATCAAATTGAGACTTGAATGACGTTATTGTGTTTTGTTGAAATTGGTACAGATGCAGCCATAGATTCCATATGTATTTAAAACGGGTGTCTGATTGAAATTAAATTTTTAACAGTGCGGCGTACCGAATAACGTGTATCAATTTTGCTATAAATTGTTTTCCATAAATCGATATAGATTTTTTTTACCTATTTTACTGTGGTCTCCTCTTAATATTTCGATATTTTCAATAATACCTAACTGTAATTTACTACGTCATTAGATAAGATCGTTTATATATATACAATACAAAATAATAATACCCACCTCTTGGAATATAACAGATAAAATAATTTCAAATAGATTCTAACGTTATCTGAAATTTAGAAATAATCGACAAGTGATTCATGGAAAGCAATTATAAAACATTTGTTTTCTGATATAAATTCGTTGAAAACACAATTTCTCAATTTCCTACATAGTATCACTACAATGATAAGTATGTATGGGGAAACGTGTATTATCGGGGAACAGATTTATCAAAAAAAAAATTCCTCTTTTTCAAAAGAACAAAAAAATACATAATTTAACATTTCAATTAGAAAATGGTATACATGTATCAATAATATTGATAACAAAATACCATATTTCACCTTGAAAAATGTGAAGTTAGAATCGTAGAATCCATCGAGCACATATAATTTTTTTTTAGTTTTTAATTACATTTATTTTTTCGGCAGCATCAATCACCATGAATGTGAGTTTATAATATGGCATCACACTCCATGATGTGGAACTACTTAACGTTTCTCTATAAATATACACATTTTTTTCATAAATAACATTGGCATCGATTGTAAACAATTAGTCAATTGAATATTGCCAGACAAGGTGTTGAAGATTCTCTTGTTGTTAATATACAGATGATGTGTTTTTGCAAATAGATAATAAATTTCAACATTATATAATGCCTTTGCCATAATGACACACTTGAACACGTTTCGCAATGCATGGAACCTTCATTACAATATTATTAGATATTACCTTGACAATTTTAAAAGTTATTCAAAAAGTAATCAATTAGTTAATCGCTTATGTTGTAATGTTTATTTATTTACGTTTTTTTAATCGCCATTGATTTGCCATGCTGCAAGGGCTTTAAATATATGTGATAATATGACATTTTAAGCTGTATAGTTCTTGGGTTGGAATATAGGGAAATATATTGCAATATTGTTATATTTTAGATCATTTATATATAAGATTTTAATAAAAATTTTATTTCTAATTTTTTCCTACAAATATTATACCATTAAAATGTTGTGGAAACGTTTTTTTATTTATATTGATTATATACTTTCCCATAAATATACCAAAATGGTTAAAATACGTGATCTCCACATTATGTTGTATAAAATTCCCCTTAATTATGTTCAGTATTATTATAATTATTTTTTATTGCATTACTTTTATTTTAATAATTTATTATTGTTACTAATAATAATTTGCCATCTCATTGTTTCCCAATTTCAGCCCGGTCTTGATGATGTGGTGAAAAAATGTCGCAATGTGAATTTATTCTTTTCGACAGATATTGAAACGGCTATCAAGGAAGCTGATTTAATTTTCATTTCCGTCAATACACCCACAAAAACATTTGGCAATGGAAAAGGTAAGTACACAAACGTAAAAACTCAATACAACGAATTTCCAAACAACATATTAAACGTTTATTTTTTTTCCAGGTCGTGCTGCCGACTTAAAATATGTTGAAAGTGCTGCTCGTATGATTGCTGAAATTGCTCAATCCAATAAAATTGTCGTAGAAAAAAGTACCGTTCCCGTGCGGGCTGCCGAAAGTATTATGCACATTTTACATGCCAATCAAAAGCCTGGCATTCGTTATGACATCCTCTCAAATCCAGAATTTTTGGCTGAAGGCACAGCAATTGAAGATTTACTACATGCTGATCGCGTTCTGATTGGTGGTGAAGAAACTCCTGAAGGTCATAAAGCCATAGAGAAGTTGTCATGGATCTATGAACATTGGATACCCAAAGAGAATATCTTGACGACAAACACTTGGAGTTCGGAATTATCCAAATTGGCAGCAAATGCATTTTTAGCTCAACGAATTTCCAGTATTAATTCCCTATCGGCGGTGTGTGAAGCCACGGGCGGTGATGTCTCCGAAGTGGCACGTGCCATTGGCTTGGATTCACGTATTGGTCCCAAGTTCCTACAAGCCTCAGTCGGTTTCGGTGGTAGTTGTTTCCAAAAGGATATACTCAACCTTGTCTACATTTGTGAAGGCCTTAATTTACCGGAAGTTGCTGCGTACTGGCAGCAGGTTATCGACATGAATGAATATCAAAAATCAAGATTCTCACAGAAAATCATTGAATGCCTATTCAATACGGTGTCTAATAAACATATTTCGATATTGGGTTTTGCATTTAAAAAGAACACGGGTGATACACGTGAAACACCAGCCATTACTGTGTGTAAGACTTTGCTGGAGGAGGGGGCCAAATTGGATATTTATGATCCAAAGGTTGAGCCCGAACAGATTATTGATGACTTGACACATCCATGTGTTACCGAAACGCCAGAAATTGTGAAGCAGGCTGTGCAGATTCATAGCGATCCCTACAGTGCGGTAAGGGGCACACATGCCATTGTCCTGTGCACGGAATGGGATGAATTTGTGGTAAGTTGATGTGAACTATTTCTTGATTAAATTTATTTAATTTGACTGTAGAGTGTAGGATATGAATGAAACCATACAAAGGACATGACAATAGATGTACACACGGTCAAGATCAGGGGGCGGTCAAGATTAGGGAAGTTTTTTATTTTTTTTAATCTTTTAAAATATGGGATCATAGTTTTTTTTTTATATTTCACATTTTCTCAATGTATAATTCATCCCAATATTCTTGTCCATCGAACTGTAGATCCAATGTGAAAAACAGTTAGACCGTTGATTCCATGTATGGTATTTGTTGTTCAAAGTTTCACATGCATAACGATCTCAATGTCGTCTTCAAGGCCTGAAGTACAATGAGGGCAGATCTAGCTCTTCCGGAGATATAAATTCAATTTATTTCCCTATACGAAAATCTAGGCCAAGAGCGATTCCAAGCTTAGAAATCATGCTGATTGTTTCCTACATTTATACACAAATTTAAAACTTCAACCCACGTGAGAATTAGAAATGCAGTTCAGCCGTAAGGTGAAGCGTATGTGTATTATTAAGAAGTTTTCCAGAACATGCCTGATAATCTTAGAAGGCTGAAAATTACTTATACATGTGAAAAGTGCTCTCCAAATTCTTATATTTCACGAGACATAACTACTTCAACCACTCGTTGTATGCCTGTGTGGCGAAGTTGATTAACTGCATCAATCCATCCATGCAGATCCACAATTGATAGGACTTATTCTTGCATCTGATTGGCTTCAATTGCTAATTAAATAAAATAAAATAAATAATCGACCCACCTTTTAATAGGCATGCATATAAATTCTGAATTTTTTTCAAGCTGATCCTCATTAGTACCTATAGACATTTCTTGTTTCCATTTCATTGTAAAAATAAAATAAAAAAACTCATAATATCCTGTAACACAATGTACGGTTCGGATAGTAATCATTCCAATAATTCTAAATATGTTTCGATATTTTTTCTTCCTTTTTACAGACCCTTGACTATCAACGCATTTATCAATCCATGATGAAGCCAGCCTACATTTTTGATGGTCGCAAAATTTTGGATCATGAACGTCTGCAACAAATCGGTTTCCACGTCCAGACAATTGGTAAGAAATATTCCCGGTCGGGATTAATGCGTTCCTGGGGCAGTGTACAACAATTGTAGGTCGCCAAGCAGTTAAAGAAGGTTAAACTTGCCACCACCAACAACTGTACACATTGAATTGGATTATCCAAAAACAACAACTCTATTGTCTCTTTGTGTTTTTTCTCTACTATTTTGCACTACCATTAACTACTTCTCAAAGACTTATAATGCACACAGTATTTTTCCTCACTTTTTTTCTTAAAAATCCACATTTTTTTAAATATTGAAATTGTAAATAAGAGCAATGTATGTTTTTTTATCTAAACCAAACTCAAATATAAAAAAGAAAATAATAATAATAATAGACAACAACAATAAAATTAAAATTCTAACGAAGAAGCGGCAATATACATATATAATTATTATATTTGTTTAAAAAGTAGAATATTTTAAATGTTTTACTTTTTAATAATATATATTTTTTTTAAATTAAAGTCTACAACTATCTCTATATTATTCTACTCCTACATATATTTAGTGTATACTATTACAATGTAAGTCTCTCCAGGAAACAACATAAAACTAAAAAACGATTGTATTAAAATATATAGACACTTTTATTATTATTTTCCTCCAATTTGTATTGTATTGAAATTACTATTTATGTTATAATTTCCAAACATTTTATTTTGCATATCATATATTACATACATATATACACATTACTTATGTAATTGTAAAAGGAAACAATAATAAATAAAAAATACAATTTTAGTTTAACTAAAAAAAAACAGTTTTATATTCAAAATGGTTTACGTTTCAATACCGTACGATACCACAAGAAAGCAGTAGCCAATGATAAACTGTACCACGTAATAAGATATGAAAGATGATCATTTCGTAAAGTTATACGAGTTTGTCCACCAATGGGTCCACCGGGTGTTGATGATTGATACGTGGCATCAAGAAATACTGGTTGAGCCCCAGTGGCTTCGCACATTTTTGGTAAATCTCTGAAAAGGAAATTAAAAAATAAAAATATGAATCCAAAACCGATTTATGTAGCCGATTATCGCCCATGTGACATGTTCCGAGAGTTTTTGAATTCCCATACTTTTTTAAATTCCCATGTTGTGCAAAATGGTGTGCTCAATTTCGAGCGAAAGTGCGGCTCGAAATCATAGCTGTGTTCCATATGTTAGGAAATGTGTTCAATAAAAAAACATATGTTTCACTGGAATTTGCAATTTGTTTAACAACAAAATTAAGAAAAAATATGCCTGCTGGTTTATTAATTGCCCTGGTTTCTAACAGAAAAAGTCTAATGTACTGGAACGTGTTAAAATAAAAATTTATGGATATTTTGAGAGAAGTTGGTCCATTCATACACAAAGTTACCATTCGCGAAAGCCTGCAGTTAGCAGCTACCTTAAGATTTCTGGCTGTTGGTGGGTTTCAGAGGGTAGTGGCAAATTATTTAAATATAAGTGTTGATCGCACAACAATGTGTAAAATATTGTGGAGAGTAATGAAAGTCCTGGAAGACAAAGTGTGTGCAAGCTGTGTACAGCTGCAGACCAGGATCCAGTCATGATGCTTTTATTTGGCATATGAGTGCAAAATAGCTGGCTTCTAGGAGACAGTGGTTGCGCTTTAGAAACATTTTTGATGACGCCCTATAAACAAGTGGAGCATGGATCTTGTCAACATCGATATAATAAAGTGTACACATCTGCAAGAAACATTATTAAAAGAACTATTGGAAATCTTAAAGTAGATTTTTTATAGATTCTATTTTTATTTTGATCATATGGTGGTTGAGTTGCCAGATTGATCTCAAAAATGTTACGCGCTGTCTTTGATAAAAGGAGCCCGTTTGTATTTTCTTTAATTTTACAATATAAACTAATGTAAATACTGTATTTTTTAAATAAATATTGTAAAAACACGTTAAATATTACTTCAGCGTTCTTTTTCAACTTGTACGTGCTCAGAAAAACACGTACGATTTCATTTCGTTTTCAATCCACAAGGCTATATGTGCTCGAATTATATTCCCAATATTTTTTGGGAATTCGGAATGGAGCACACCAAATTTGGGAAAATGTTTCACATTCGAGCAAACTCGAAATGCAGCACATGGGCGTATATGTAGCAAAGACTCTAACCATAAAATTTTCAGAGATTCGGGTTCCAAATGGTAAATGAATTTTCAATTATGTTTTATACAAAGTATATCTAAAGTTTCTAGTCGATTTTTTCAACTAGGTCTAAGAGAATTCAATGTTGTAAAATTATTTACAAGCATTGGAGAGAGTTGCAAAGTTGTTCCCATAAAGGAAAATCTGAGGTCGGGGTGGTTTATCAACCTGACATTTGAAAAGGGTTGGCGGGGTAATTCAATATATGTCACATGCTGGGTAGACTTCTGCACATAGCAATCAACCATGCCCAATAGGAATTGAATTCAATTTAAAACTAATAGTTGTAATTATGTGCCCCTAGACCAGCACAATCATCTCCACAATTCATGTGGTAAATACACCATAGTACCCTACGTCTTGATGGCGTTATCATCCGCATACATAAAAATCTTATGTAATTTGGGGTTGCCGTCTACAAAAAAAGTTACCGGAGAGATATGGCCAAATCATTCATCATTGTAATATAAAAAAACAAGCGCCGGTAATATTATATACATTCTTTGTTCTGGGTACTTATGTACAAAGTTTTGTAACTAAAGTTAATTTATTGTTATCTAAATTTTTTTATTACCCCTTTTTAATGAAATATGTTAAATTAACTTACCTATATAAAAATACATCTCCTTTGTGATCTGGTGTAAATTGAGGCCTCTTTTCTCCCTTACGCACAACACAGGTTAACTCTACTTCATTGGGGATTTGACCAGCTGTACGTGTCTCTGGTTTCAGATTTTTTCTCGACACCCAGCCCCGATTTATTAAAATGATGTCACTAGAATAAAAACCAATGAAAATCAACTAAAGTAGAATATACAATCGAAATCGCTTAAAACAACGATCAAGCGGTCGTAAACATTTTTGGCGCCATAATATTTTTCTGAACTTTTGGTTTAAGTTATTATAACCGATTTCCTCTTTAAAATAATTGCGTTAATACTCACTCTCGATCACTCAATTGAAATGGTGTTATAATCCAATAACCATTTCCAGTGTCACGTTGAGAAAATAAACCACCCTGAGTTTCGGCACCATCTGGACGTATAAAGCCACGTGGACCCATTACCAATTCTTTGTCGTGCAAAAAACGACCCTTAACTTTGACGGCACGATATTCCATATCTTTGAGGGCATTTAAACTAAAAAAATGCAGATAGAAATAATTAATTGTTTCGTTTCATCACAAGCATCCAAACTTACTCATCGGGCAGATCTACTGGTGGCATTTTTGTTAGGGTTTCAATATCCTTGATAAGTTGCTCCTTCCATGCTTTACGTTTCGTTTGCCAGACACCCAGGCCAAATGTTGTCACTGGAATAAGCTGTGGAGTAAAAAAATTAAAGATTTAATTTGTGTGGTTTTTTTAATGGATCCTGTTGTAGTTATCTTAACTGAAATGAAGATAACTGTCATTGGGTGAAATTTAAAATAATATTTTCTAAATACTGTGCATACAATTCCACACTTACCAACAGAAACCATCCCAGTGGTGTCACTTTTTCTTCCTTCCCGGCAAGTGAGACACCTGGACCGGCAAACGTATTCGGTCTCTGTAAAATACACCTCCGTTGAGGTATTTTTGAAATGGATTGCCACCGGTTAACACTTTGTCTGGCATTTATTGCCACCAATGGTCTCACTATGAGACCACTTAATCGTAACATAATTCAATTATTTATTTTATTTATAAAAATTAACAAACTTATGAAATAACTTGAACCCCCGAATGAATCGACTTAATTTAAAAACGTTCCACAAATTACGAATAAGGCGAGACAAGGGAGAATTGGTGATAAAAACCAATATCAAAGCAAAATTTGCTAATGTGTACGAATTAGTGTGATGTATAACGTCGAAAGAATAGATACCAATCAGCTGATAAATATATTCTACAAAATAGGAAGTCGATGGCGGATATTCTCAAAATCATCGTATGGAAAGTGTAGTAGTATGTAAAATTGTCCAAATATTTCACGATATTTGGAAATGGCGGTTAATACGTTTAAAGACAAATGTTCCATACAGGCATTGAAGTGCAAAATCCAAAGCGAACAGCAAAAGCATGGATGCTTCGGGCCAGTGCACGTCGCACAATCCCCCTTATATTCCAGTTAAAATTACAAGGTTTTAAATTTACATATTTTCTGGAACACACCAAATATTATTCTAGTTTAATACATATTTTATCACAGAATCTAAAATAATAACTGTTAATCGAAATTGATCCCATTATCCATAAAAAAAATTGAAAAACATTTTTTGAATACTCCTACACATAAAAAATTAGAAAAAAGTTTTCCAATTCTGATAGAAATTAAAACAAAATTTTTTAATTTGATGTATGACCAGATGCCTTTATGAAACGGATCATATGGCTGTCAGTCACCAACAAACTTTCAAAATATAATTGCAAAATTGCACAGTGTAAACACTTAAAGCGATCCACCTTCCATTGCGTGATTCCTTTGCGGAACATTGAGAGCTAGGCATTTCACTGATTTATGTAAATATTTTTTTAATTCACCGGAAGTTATGCGTCTACTTATTCTATATGGAAGTCAAACGGGAACAGCTCAAGATGTTGCTGAACAACTGTGGCGTAAATCAAAAACATATGGCTTTGAGGGACCGGTACTGGCTATGAATGAATACTCCGTACAGAATCTAATTGAAGAAACATTGGTGTTTTTTGTTGTTGCAACAACAGGTGATGGCGATGAACCGGACAATATGCGCAACTTTTGGAAATTCTTATTAAGGCGAAGCCTACCGCAAAATTCCTTGGAAAAGCTGCAATTTGCCTGTTTGGGCTTAGGAGATTCTAGTTATGCGAAATTTAATTATGCAGCTAAAAAATTAAATAAACGGCTCCAGCAACTGGGTGCCACTTCAATTATACCCATGGGATTGTGTGATGATCAACATGATCATGGTTTGGGTGCAGTGGCATTACCATGGATGCAACAATTGTGGTTGGAAGTGGAAAAACGTTTGGGTGTAAAAGCCAATGACCTTGATAGTGCTAAAGTCTTTAAATGGTCATGTCGAACTGTGAATAATTCTGCTAATGAGGAAGGTTCGCAGCAACATATACTATGGCCCCACAAGGAGGAACCTCAAAAATTCCTACTAAGTGAAAACCTGCGTACTACAGATAAAGACCATTTTCAAGATGTTCGTCTATTGAAATTTGATGCTGGACATGCCACCTGGAGCCCCGGAGATATTTTACAAGTCCAACCACAAAACTCCAAAGAACAAATTGAAGCATTTTTCTCCTGGGTTAAAGAGCATAATTTAGACTTCTCACCCGATACTGTAGTAGAAATAACAAGCAACTATAAGGATATACCCATACCGAAATGCTACAATAAACCGTTGACCGTACAACAAATGGTAACATCGATATGGGATCTGAGTCACAAGCCCCGACAAAGAGAATTTGAATTGTTAGCCTTAAATTGTGAAGATGAGTTGGAGAAGGAGAAACTTATTGAATTCACCACAGCTGAAGGTCTGGAAGATCTTATCGGTTATATAAATCGGCCACGTCGTACAATTCTGGAAGTGTTGCAAGACTTTCGACATGCTTCTGCCAAACTGACGCTGAATACTTTAATAGAACTATTTACTTTTATACAACCGCGTAGCTTTTCAATTGCCAGTTGTGTGGAATCAGGCAAACTGGATCTACTGGTGGCTGTGGTGGAATATAAAACAAAGCTTTCAAAACCCCGGTTGGGTTTATGTTCAAATTGGTTGAAATCCCTGGAGGCTGGAACAACAATATTAGGCTGTATAAAAACGGGAACAATGAAACTGCCCAAAAATCCCCAAATACCTGTTATTATGATTGGACCTGGTACAGGTATTGCACCATTTCGCAGCTTCATACAAAGTCGTTATTTTCTAAAAGAAAATGAACAAAATGCTGACACTCCGTTGGTTGTATATTTCGGTTGTCGAAATCGTAACAAAGATTTCCACTTTAGTGATGATCTTGAAAAATGGTCCAATGAACGTTTTATTCGTCTTTATTGTGCCTTTTCCAGAGATCAAGATCATAAAATATATGTACAACATTTAATCGAAGAAAATGTTAGTGAATTGAAAACATTGATTTTAGAAAATCAGGCATTTATATTGGTTGCTGGTTCTTCGAAAAATATGCCAAAATCCGTCAAAGAAGCATTCCTCAAAGTACTTGATGGTAAAGAGGCATTACTGGAAGAAATGATTAAACAAAGACGTTATCAAGAAGAAACTTGGTCATAGACAATAAATTATGCGCTGTTTTTATTTAAGATACAATACTATTTTTAGAAAATAAATAAATAAAATTTATACTAGAAATAAATATTTTAATACTATTATTGATTCTTTTCAATATTCTTCGAATAGTTTATCGGCGGGTGTACGACAAAAAGGACAATGACCTTTTTGTAAAACTTGTAATTCAAAATCTTCTGCATAGAATACCTGAAAAAAGAAAAATACAATTTAATACCCTTATTGAAATTTCTTCAGACTATGCTGCTACTACGGAGTCTAAGACCCCCTCAGCATACACCAATGAGACGAATGAGGTCCAGGGGGAATTAGGAAACAAAATGGGCAAAGCTATCGCAGACAGTGAATGAATCTCCAGGCTTCGGTAGCGGCTAGAGAAATGTTGCCAAAAAGGAACGAGAGCTCATACTAGTGGAATAAAATCAAACACGAAAATGTTGCCAAGACTACTTTTAAAAGTACGAGAAGTTCATCCTCTGGAAAACATCCCGATATGTTTTAATAACCAATCTAATTCGGTGTATAATATTCAAAGAGAAGAAAGCAGTTATTGACAATGATTTATTGAATGGGTACATGAGTTAAAGACACTGGTTACTGATTGATGAAGTTAATCGAATTCGATTAATGCCGCTTATGTTTCCGCCGAATCGACCCATATAGAGGAGTAATGTAATACGAATCTATGATTTTGATCATAATTGGGAAGAGGGTGAACTCAGTACGGATTCGATTGAAAGTTTTTTGCAGGGACCGTAACGGTTATAACTTATATCAAATCAGGTAAAAAATAACTGTTATTATGTGACCTAAATAAAAAAATCCACTTTAATTATTTATTTTTTAACGGAAAAAATAAACGTTGATTTTTAACTGTTAAAAATGATTTTTATTTTTTCCGTCAAAAATAAAAGTCTTTTTGGGATTTTTATTTTTTCCGTCAAAAATAAAAGTCTTTTTGGGACTTTTATTTTTTCCGTCAAAAATAACAGTCTTTTTGGGACTTTTATTTTTTCCGTCAAAAATAAAAGTCTTTTTGGGACTTTTATTTTTTCCGTCAATAATAAAAGTCTTTTTGTGATTTTTATTTTTTCCGTCAGAAAATAAAAGTCTTTTTACGTAAATAAACATATAGAGTTTGGTACCAGTTATATAACCTTTGACCTAATAGTCAGGGGAATGATTCTTTAATTTATATTCATGATTTGGTACACTAGACTATTTTTTTAAAATTTATAACAAATATTTTTTACCTTTGATCTTGATTACTTATGTGTACACTTATTGTAATAAGGACAGAGATTTATAAATTGTAATTTTATAACTGATTACAAGTTGTATAAACTTCTTTACATAAAAGGAGTTTTATTTCCTGACGGAAAAAATAAAAATCCCAAAAGGACTTTTATTTTCTGACGGAAAAAATAAAAATCCCAAAAAGACTTTTATTTTTGACGGAAAAAATAAAAGTCCCAAAAAGACTGTTATTTTTGACGGAAAAAATAAAAGTCCCAAAAAGACTTTTATTTTTGACGGAAAAAATAAAAATCGACTTTTATTTTTGACGGAAAAAATAAAAATCATTTTTAACAGTTAAAAATCAACGTTTATTTTTTCCGTTAAAAAATAATCCTTAACATGGGAACTGAGAGTGTTTTCTCAAGATCACTCAATATCCTTAATGGGCTCCTCAGTACGAATCTATTGGTATATGACACTAATGGTGTCCCATGTCTCTAACATGAAGATTTTTTTGTTCGCATTTTAAAAAATAACTGTTATTTTCGGTCCCTGGTTTTTTGAGCTGAGGGGAATTTTTGACGAGGCCTTAGAAAAATAAATTTATTATACTTACCAGTAAACATTCAGGACAATAGGTGACTTGGAGATCAGGTAATATATTGCGATAAAATATGAATTTACTATTTGGTTGGGAACGACGTTTTAAAATCAAAACATGATTAGGATCTATAGCACGCAAGGCACTGCGGTCTAAACTTAAAGAAGGTAAGGCACTTGCAGTATCCTAAAAACAAAAGAAAATAAAACAGCATATGAGTATGAATATATTTTTTTATTAATTGCTTTAATACTTACTTCATTAAAAGGATCTTGATCCTCATTACTTTTAGGTGGAGCCATTAAAAGTCTCTCAGCCTCTTGATCGGTTATATCCATCTCTGGATAAAATTGCACTAAAGGTAAAATTTCTAAAAAATATATTGAAACAAAATAATTTAGTCGCATTTCCAAAAACACATATTTTCAAAACCTTACCAAACGAAATAAACGAGAAAATATAATCTTGTCTACATGTGGGACAAGAATTGGCATTTAAATGTTGACTATAATTTGAACATTTATAACATAACGGCAACAATTCCTCGGGATCATTAAAACCACTTTTGCATGCTTTACTATTTAAATAGTTTATCTATAAAAACAAACATAAGAATTAAATATATACCCAATTAAACAATAACACCTAGTAGATTACATCAATTTGTTCCTGGACACCAGCTGGAGGTTTCAATGATTGTAGCCTTTTATTGACCACCAAACAGAGTTTATTAGCTTGCAAAAATTTCGCCTGTTTAGCCAGGGTGAAGAGCACAGCACTATCCCCAAAATAAAATCCATAAATATCTTATTAAACACCTCAATTTCAAATAAAATCTACTTACAACATACTAACACCTCTAGGGGCTCCTTTATATTCCACCTCATTTAATATAAATCGAGATACATTAAACAAACTCACCGGTGAATAGGTGGTAAAGGGCTCTTTCATATAATTATAGATTACCGAAAAGGCATAATAAATTTTAGCAATACGCAGATGTGAATTGTATTCCTTTAAATGGAAATCTATGGGATTTTGTTCTCTAAAATAAATTTTATAAAGTTGATCAATCAAAAATGATGTTATTAAAAATATTCTGACTTACTCCTTGTCATAGTAGATATCCAAATATTGCTTTGATAACAACCAATAAAAATAACTGGCATCCAAGAAACGTTCTTCTTCTATGGCAGAACTGCTTAAGTGTTTCAATAAACGATTTGCCTCTTTGATACGTCCAGCTTTCAAATATGCTTAAAAAATTCAACAACAAATTAATATATGTATGTCAGAAAATCTTTGTTTGATCAACTTACCTTCATGGGCCTCAATAAATTTATCATTCTCTGCCAACCACTGACCATGCTGATAATGTACTTGGGGTAAAAGTTCAGGAATATCGGCTGCCAATAGAAAGGCTTCCGACCAATCTCGTGCCTCTACATGCAGTTGTACAACTTCAGCTTCATTACCCAATTTTTTAAAGACCTCAGCTGCCAAGGGCAAGGCTTTTAAACGTTTCAAATTTGTGGCAACCAATTCCAGAGATTCTCTATCACTTTGACTCAAACGTCGGCCAATATCGTAAAGACTATCAATAATAAAATATTATTTTCAATAAATAAACACTTCAACAAGAATGTACAAGTAATTAAAATATGGAATTTGATGATGATTTTCCCAATATTTAGTTATTTGTTTTACTTACACATCTGCCCATCCTTGTTCGGAAACAATTTCAATTGCCTTTTGATGATCACCAACACTCAACAGTAGTTCGGCAGCTGCCCTCGGTTCTTTGACCGAATATGCCCATTCGGCACGTTTACGTACCAATGCCTTTTTCTCTTCGGCACTGCCATCACGTATGAATTCTTGTGCCAAATCGAACATTCTCAAATCACTGTACATTTCCAATGCCCTCTGTGGCATATTACATTTATCGAAAAATCGCGCCGCTTCTTTATATTTGCCATTGTAGGCAAATATCTCTGCTTGCAGTACTTCTTTGGGCAATTGGCCGCGTTTTTGTTTTTCCATTAAATCGTCGATTTTCTGCAACCATGGTAAATTGCGTATTTTCACATAGGCATCACGGGCAATATTTAAATGTAACGCTTCCAAGGCTGATTTCGCCAAGCCTTCCCAGTCGGCTGATGTGATGCCCAAACAGGCAACTTGATAGGCTTCCCTAAAAATTATACAAGCATTAAAATTTTGATTTATAATGAATTTATAAAAATAAACATACTCAAATAATCCCGATTCTATAAATTGCCACATTGTTGCTCCCAATGCCAAAGGTACATTATGCATAACATTTCCTCTTAAACAGAACGCCGTGGCCCCACACAGTCCCACAACCACACCCAACATATGTTGTGGAGCTCGCGGTGGCAAATTCCCCACTCTTACTGATAGTCCACCGGCTGTATGCGTATAACATAACATTGTATCTAAATGAGTATTCCACGTGACGGAATTGACACCACTATCCTGATAGAGTAGGACATCATTGTTGATGTCACGCACCACCAAACGACCACCATCATCAACTACTGCAATTTTTGTACGATTTGCGTTTACATCTAAACATCGTACCGCAGATATGGCTGTGGTTATTAACAATGGCAGAGCATTGTCCAGAAATATCCGATAAACCTGAAAAGAAATATTTTATATAGACAATATTTAACCGTTTAGAAAAAATCGAAACAGATTATGCTAATTATATTTTTAAAATTAGGCATACACTTTTAACTATGAATCTCTTCCAAAAATCCATCCAATAAAAAAAGGTAATACATTCTAAACTTACCTTGCCATTTTTCAAACCAACCATAAGACCTTCTCTGCCAGCCGGTCCTCCAATAACCTTTATATAACGTATAAAAGCATCCATTAACCATTCTCGCTGCAGAATGCCATTGAAATCCAAACACTGTAATCTCCGATCATTACATAGCACAATGTGTCTTGCACACACCACCAACAGACTACAATCGAATTTCTTTTGGATTTTCTCTTTCACTTTATAATGCATTGGCTGTTCCAACGCTGAACTTAATTCGTATAACACCACTCTTTCAGGCAATTGCACCGCCAATTTTTCACGATATATTGCAATTTTTTGTACTAAATCACGGCACTTGATTCGTACCTTTTGACCTGATATTAAATGTTGTATTATAACATCACACATATTTTCACGAAAAGCATAACGTTCGCGATACAACGCATGTACTGTGGTAAATGTTATACTATATGTTGCCAGAGTACCATTATTACAACCTATAGTGTATGACTGTCCATTGGGATGGACATCCACCGACCATATCCATGATGAGTCCAATGAATCGCCCAATGTACCCAAACGTACACCTTCTCTGGTGTAACAATGTACATATTCGGTACAACCCGATATTAGGCAATATTCTCCATTTGGTAAATAGGTCAGGCATAATGCATCAAAACCAATGACACGTTCTTTTCCCACCATTTGTCCACTCAAGGTGTGAAATGATAATGTTTGACTCCAATCGACAACAGCAATTATATCTGTGTTGGGTTCTGCTGTGGCCGGGCAACATTTTACACCATAGACAGCACTTGCTGAACCACCAGGACGATCAATGCGACCTTTCTCCTCGCCAGATTTATTACGTATGGTTATGGAACCATTTGATAAACCCATTATCAAATATTGGCCATCGTTGGTCCAGCAACAGGCATTGACACGAGAATGTATTTTATATTTTTGTACAGCCTTCTGGTCGGATGACCAAAATGCAAAATCCGATGTTGAGCAGGATGCTAGGTGATGAGAAACCGGATTGAAGGACATACATTGTACAGAGTCGCCATGCCTAAAGGAGGGAGAACATTTTGTTCGCTACAAATTGTTTTTATTAAATTTATAACAGTGTAGACTTACGAATATTTTAGTAGACCCTCAAGTTCTGGTGACCAAAGAATTACCTGTAAATATTAAGATAGGATTTTCATATTACAGTTGATGGAATAAATGAAATGATTTCAAAAAAGGATATCGTTTTCTTATAAGTTGAGTTTTTTCATTCTTCAGCTATAAATCACAATCTTAATGTTTTATTTCTTATAATTTGTTTATAACATTTCCACATACCGTTTTATCAGCAGCACCACTGGCAAATTTTTTACCATCTCTGGCATAGGCCACACAATTAACCACATCCTTGTGAGCTTTAAGGGTATTCAGCAATGTACCATCTCGAGGATCGTATACTAAAACTCTCTCCCTGGCAGCTACAATTAATTGTGAACCATCTGGGCTATAGCAAACGCAACGTATGCTGTAAAATGAAAATAGAGTGTAAATAATTACAAAATATTCAAAAGTTTTTAAATTTTTATAAAAATATAATGTAAATATTAACATCTAAAAAAATTGTTACAAAAATATCACTCTGATAAAGAAAACTTTAAAAATTATAAATTAGCATCGGTTATTTTCATTATGGATTTTAAAATAAGATTTACTTCACCTTTTCTGCTACGTCTGACCACTGTGCACATTTATATGTCATAAATACGCAAAACAATTTGTTGTTTTTCTTGTTTTCATTTTTCCGATATTTACCTGATATCATCATCCTTTATATTGGGAAATTCAACCTTATCAATCCACTTTAATATGCCTCTCATTTCTATTTAATTTATATTTATTGTAATTATTTTATTAGGTCATTAAATTATTTTCATTTTTTTACTATTTCACCCTGTGGAAAATATTTGTCCGGTTTTTCTTGTGTCCAGTTGGTGTCGAAGTTTGCGTGTTTACAAAAGTTGTTGTCCATAGTGACCAAAACCCACGACAAGTACATTTCGATATATAAATAAAAAAGGGATAATTCCATGATATCGTTATCGATTTGCGATAGGTAAACAAAAGAGATCAGTAATATATGGCGCGTAAAGAAAATTGTATTTAAATTTTGATTTGTTTTTAATTATTTCAATTTAAATGATGAACCTTTATTTTAGATATATTTTGCAATTAGTTACATTTTATTTCACATACGCAACATCTCTAGTTTTACTGGAATAACTGACATTTTAAAGATAGACTACAAATTTTTAAATTAAAAAAGTAAAGTTTTTTAAAATTCCGAAATTTGTAACACTGATTTTCATTTCATTTATTTTCATACATATTAACGCATAAGCTGAAGACATATATATACCTATATATATATATATATATATATATATATAATAAAACCATTTAACATTGGTTCCCCATGAAGTAAAATTATCAAAATAATACTAAAATAATAAAATAACCAAATATTGTATGAGAGCACTACTTAAAGTAATGGAAAAGAATAAAATATTAAACCATATGGTACCTTCCCGTGTAAAATGTCATGAAGTTCACGTCATAACTGCGCTTTATTAAATTACAAGTGCCTGGACCTTCTTAATATTAACCGACCAGAGACCCTAGTTTGCTTAAAATATTAGGTTGTGCAAAGTTCGAGAATTATTACGTGCGACAGCCAGAAATTCGAACATTTGTAAATCGACTTTAAATCATAAGAAACGGATCTGGTCCAAAGAGACTTAAGATCTAAAACCAATATTTCGATGAGGAACTTTTTGGCGCCGCATCCGATCCTAAACGAACCGAGTCTTACTCGGCCAACGTCTGTCGCCTCAGCTCATTGTGTAAAAGCAATAGGGCTGCTACAAACAACAACAACAACCCTCAATAGCCGAACGGCAAAGAGTATAAAAACTATGGAATGAATTTCACATCTTTGAGCGTAGGCCTCTAAACCCAGTTAACAAAGCTGTATAGTATTCGTTTTCCATCAAAAAAAATATGTAGCTATCATTAGTAGTAGCTAGGGCTGTCTATGACCAAAGAGGTGTACGTTAAAATACATTTACGCCAAATTTTCTGAGAGATGCCCCTAAAGTTAATCAGAGTATAAAAACTAAACTTTGGAATGAATTCCACATCTTTGAACGTAGATCTCCGATCCCCGTTAGCAAAGCAGTATAGTAGTGCAGGGCCAATCATATGAATGTTTATCATCAGAAAGTATCGATTTCCCCCCATCAAAAAAATTATGCAGCTATCATCAGTAGCAAAAGGGCAGTCTATGACCACAAAGAGGTGCACATAAAATACATTTACGCCAAATTTTCCGAGAGATGCCCCTAAAGTTAATTTGACAATTACAATAAGCCATAATGCTTTTGTTTTCCAAAATTAATTCGAATTCCTCAATTTATTTTATTATTCCCACCAAAAACCCAAAGAAAATAATACAACTACCATCAGTAAACAAACGAAGAAAAGCAAAAAACCGTATGCTGCCAAGATAATCATGATTATTACAACACCAACCGCCAGCCCCAGTCGTATCGTGCATTTCATTGAAGAGCCACGCGTTTCGTTTCGATTTCGTGTGTGTGAGCGTAAAAAGCAACATTCGTAGAAAAAAGTGCATGTTTATTTCTACAACTGGCATACAAATAATTAACAAACAAAAGGTATACATTTTTAAGAAAAACAAAACAAGCAAAGTAAATGACAACAAGAAAAAAATGCCGGGTCAAATAATTAAAACCGCGGACAAAGTAGAAAGGAAAAAATAATCACGTTCATTTCTTTTTTCATTCTGTTGAGTAAAATTGAACGAAGCTATAATAAGCAAAGAGAAGAAGAAAAATAGAATGTATCGGCCATTTTGAATTTTTTTCCTGATTTAACGAAACATTTGGTACAGATGTTTGTTTCGTTCCTATGTCGTCAAAACGAAACATATTAACGGCGGGAGAGTAAAAGAGATAACCATATGCTTTGTATGTGTGCTTGCGATTTCGTTAAGTTAAATATTGAACGAAACGAAAAACGGTTGGATTTTTTCGGTGTGTGAAAGACTTCAACATAGGTTTATGTGGTCGATGGTTGGTGGTGTGGTACAGTGTTGCTTGTGATTTGCAAAAAAGCAAGAAGAAAAAAAATAATTCAATAACCGTCAATCAGAAGAAGTTTTTCCCTCGAGAACCGAACAAAAAATAATTGGTATTTTATTCCAAAGGCGGATAGAGCTGTATTTCTTCAGAGTTGGATTGGTGGAAGTTCTCCACAACTTCTGTTATTATGGATTTAAACGCATGCTATCGAAACGGAGCAACAACGAAGAGATAAAATCGAATAAAATAGAAATTGTGTAAGAAGAAGCATATAATTTACAAACATTAAAAAAAGAAATCAAATATTTATTAAAGATTGTGTCGGAAAATAATGAAGTGAACGGCCCTAAATGTCATGAATGGTAGGCTGTAGTGTCGGTCGGGATTTCTGTCAGTCACCACCTACCATATTTATATTGTGGCTATTTTTTTTCATATTCAATTCAGTGCGTTTTGTTGTTGTTTGTCGTTGTTGCCGCCGCCGTCGTCTTGCAATATTCAGCGTTGTGTTGCGTTCGTTGTATGGATGACGGGACGGTGACCAACAGCCAACCAACCAACCAGTACATATTACTTTCGTTAAGTTTGGTCTGGCATTCGTACAGTAGCGGCTCATCGACTAGTGTTGAATATATTTCCGTTGGGTAACGCTGTAAATTTTGGTATTTCTCCGCCGATGATTCTTTTTGTCGTCTACGCTCTGTCATTCAAAAGAGAAAAAAAGAAGCAGCAGCAACAACAAAAAGAAAACTTATCAAATAAGGAAAAATAAACAAGTTGAAATTCTAGACTAGACTTCGTTGTGTTGTGTGCTAATTCTTACGAAGAAAAATACTTAATAAATATTGAAAAAATGCAAGAATGCAAAGTACAATTAATAGTAATTGCAAAGTGACAATTAAGGTAATTTAATTCTTTAGTAGTGTCTGTGTGTTGCTTGTTTACATTTTCCCACAATGTAAAATTACAATCATGTCTTTTTTTGGCGCCATAATAAAATAGACAAACATTTTTGTGCTAAAATTTAATTGCAATAATAAATTTGTGTTTCCTAAAAAAAGATAATCAACATGAAACTTTTCGTGCAGAAGTATGTGTGTGCGTGTAAGTGCAACGTTCAACCATTAAACATTGTTCTGGTTTTCAAGTGCGGCGCTCCAGTTCCTTTAATGCCTAGTCAATTGTACTAAATATTAATGCTGGCTGGTTGGCCCAGAAATCCGAAATGCATGTTAAGGAAAAAAACGAACACACGCCGCCGCCTGATCTGCCTTCCCTCTTGTTCTATTTGCCATGAACAAATAATTTACATACAATTAATAAATCTATGAAAGACAACACAAAACGCTGCCAACAATCGATAACCGACTGTGTTTACTGTGACTAATCGAGAATATTTTTTAATAAATTTCCGTTCATTTTTTAAGTTTTGCAAAAAAATATTTCCCTAAATATTTTCCAAAAACAACTACACTCTCAAAAAAAAAACATTTGTCATAAATTGCTGCCGCGGCTGAAGAAATAACGAAACCATTTAACTTAACGAAAAATACGAATAACGAAAAGACAGAACACCAGTCTATTTTGTTGTTTTTTTAAATAAAACCCGCACACATATGTACAACATTCGCTGTGTAAAATAAGGGTTGCCATTTAGTTGTTATTAGGCGCGGGGTTAAATTTCACAACAGTTTCTCTCTCTTGAGAGAGTAATTAGAGTTGCGCTATTTTTAATAGCGTACTTTTTGTCCTCGTGCATGAACGAAAACATTACAAATAGGGGCTGTTTCATAAAACAATTTCACAAGTTGGAGTAACATTTGCCGAGGACGACCAGGACGAGGATAGGGATAAATTTGTTGTCTGTTTACGGTGGATGTGTGTGAGCTGTGCGGTTAGTGTTATTCTAAAAGGGATGATCCTTATATGATAACATTGAAGGTATTTTGGTATACTATTTGGATCGAAAACAAAAATAAATATATAGATCAAATCGAGGGTCTATTATAGGGCAACGCTTTCATAATATAGCTTATACGTTGACCATTCTAACATGGTGAAGAAATATTCTGTTATGGTCCGGTCGCAGATCTCTTTGAAATTTGTACAATATTCCGTATCTGGTACTCTGATTACAACTATATAGATTTATCTTGCGAAAATTCATGCAATTCAAAATGATATGAATATAATTTTGAATTGCACCAAATGACGCCATAAAGTATTAGATATTGGAAATAATTCGATCATTTTTGTACTGAAATTACCACAATATTAATCTATAAGCAATTTGTTTATAAAACGTGCTCACAATCTTTAAAATATTAAATTATTTTACCAAAGCTTGACCATGTGGAAAGATGGAGTATATTGGTATACTACCTTTGGTATATCTTAAACCAAGGGTCACGTAACTGTCTTAATGGTGAAATCCAACATTTTGATTTCATAGAATTCGTATTTGATGAAAGTTTATTAATTAAAATTAATCAATTCATTTTTAATGTTCCTTTAATAAACATATTTATTATTTTTGTTTTTTTCAGAAAGCTCAACATTGAAAAAAATAACTCATTTTTTTGTCTTTTTAATTGAATGCCGTACAATAAAAGGAAATCGGATAGAGTGGAAAGAAAACTAAGACAACAAATATTAACAAAAACATAAATCCTATTCCATATCTGCTCGCAACGGCAGCACCATGAATAATCAAATGAATACCACGGTTCGAAAAATACATAATCTGCTCTCAAGCGGAGCAGTGACAGTGACTGGTCCAAATCAGCCACGAATTTTAAAGCAGAAAATTGTTGGCTCTGGTGCCGGTACAACCGTTGTCTCTTCGGGCTTAAACAATAGTCTCCAACAGCAACAACAAATTGTTACATCTAGTAATCGCTGCTATGTATGCGATGATGCCTTGGGCGCCAATCAGGCTCAACACCCCCTAACCGATATGCAGACAACGCATACATCAACAAAATTTCCCAATAAAATTGGTCAATTGGTCGGCGATGCATTTATGGTCATTGTTAGCGTTGAAGATGTCGTCTGTTCGCGGTGTACCAATCTTATCAATTATTTGGATCGCCTGGAGAACGATGTGGAACGTGTGAAGACAAATCTAATGAATTTATTGCACAAGAAATATGGTCTAAATGATGATAGTGGCGGTGGAGCTGGGAACACCGTTACCGGTGGTGGTTCAACGGTGACAGTAGGTGGCACGCCAAATAATATTGCCGCCCAACAGACACCACCACCAAATAAATTGCAAAAATTGAATAGTGGGGCTGCAGGTAAGTCTCACGAATACTCATTGTCGTTAATGATTGAAAGGGGTAACTTAATTTTTGTCTCTGCTCTTTACAGTTAGTGCCGTACAACAAATGAAAATCTCCACACCCTCACCCACATCCATACAACAACATTCGGCTGGCACACAAACTCTACAACGCAAAACCACCAAAATATACAAGTGCTTGTCTTGCGAATACAAAACCTCAGATATGCGACTCTTCAACACCCATTACGAGACATGCAAACATCAGAATTTCCAATGCAAAAACTGCAAAAAGATCTTCCCCAATTTCGGCGCCATGAAACAGCACATGGTGCGTGAGCACAACACCCCCATGGACAACACTTGTGCCGTATGCCACATTAACTTCGTGAGTGAGACGGCTCTGCGAAAGCACATGGAAATTAATCACAGCACCAATGTTGTGGTTACAAGTACAACAACACTGCCAGTGTCACAGGTGGCTGCTGCACCAGCTGCAGATTCCATAACGGCAGCTGTAAATGCGGCCAGTGGTGGTACAACGACCGCTCTATACACCTGTAATCACTGTCAATTCAAGTCCACAGATAAGGTACTGTTCGATGAGCACATGCGCAAGCACATGGCCGGCATAAAATCCAAACCCTTCAAGTGTCGTCTGTGTGCTCAACGCTTTGAGACACGGGAGGCAGCCACTACTCACGCCAAACAACATCAAGGAAATGTTTTCAAGTGTGGCACATGTTCAATGTCCTTCCCCAAGCGTGACATGTTGGTGAAACACTTCGAGGAACATCAGCACCAGCAACACCAACAACAGCAGGTTCAAGTGCAACAGCAGCAACAAATGATAAGCATTAAACAACAACCGACCCAATCACAGAACTTGTTGACCACGCAGAAATTGTTGCAAGAAACAATTGATGAAGCCCTCAGTGACAGCACAACACCCGTCACCACATCCGCAGCCAGCGATGTCACCGCAAATGCCGCAAACAACATACGCTTCTTCTCGTGCCACATTTGCTCGTTAACATTCATCCAAGAGAACTACTACAACCAGCACATGGAGACGCATAGGCGTGGTGATTCATCGAGTGGCATCCACAAAAAATCCTCATCTGGTGGAAATAATCTATCTACCCTCAATGCTGCTGCTCTTCTCAGCGAAGCTGCCCAGCAAGAACACAATGAAATGTCACATCATAGCCAAGATTTGAATATTCACCACCAACAGCAACAGATTTCCTCCATGCCTGGTGGCGGTGGAGGTGCCACCATTTCGGAGGCAGACATTGAAAGCATTTTTGAGAAAATGCATTCGGACAAGGGTGACAACGGTGGCAATGTTACCACCACAGCATCAGGTTCAGGATCAGGCGATCAAGTCGTAATAACCTCCCAGGCAGGCAGTGGAGGTGGTATCACCTTCAACATTACATTGCCTGGACAGGAGTCAGCAGCTGTTACCACAAGTGTGGAAGATCAATTGAAAAATACCCCCACTACAACCACAGCACCAGTATCCGTGAGCATAGATATGCCAATGTTGGACCAACCAGATGAGACAACACATTCGGCAGGCACGCCCACAGGTACATCTGATCACCTCAAAGACACTGACGGCGATAGCAACAAACCGCCAACGGCAAGTGGGCCAGTTAGTATGCCTAGCTTAGATGATGACAATGAAGAGCCTCCAGCAAATCCACCAGCCACCACAGCGGCCACAGAAACAACGACAACAACTACTACGTCGTCTAGTGAGGGCCACGAAGATTCTTCCAAATTAAATGAAACTGCAAAACAAAATACCGATGACACAACAAAACCCGCCACGGAAGGTGAAGACCATAAGGGAGAATCCGAGCCCAATGCCGTTTCCGCTGCTGGTGGTTCAGATGAGAATACATCAGTCAGTGGAGAACAACAAACATCCACAGAAACACCAACAACGGCGACAGCGGAAGATTCACAAGAATCTACAGCTGCTGCAACATCAGCAACAGCTAGTGTTGGAGATGAACATCATGCGGAGCAACAACAGGCTGATACTACATCCGCATCAGCTGCAGAAGAAGCCGCTTCTGCTGCTGAGCAGCAGCAACAACATCAGCAGCAGGCACATGAACAACAACTGGCCGCTGAAGCAGCAGCTGCTGCTGCCGCCGAAGGGGCTGGCGGTGAACAGCATGTTGCAATGGAATTGGATGAGGCATCTATGCAAGCTCAAGTCGATGGTGGACAAATTAAATTTATCCTTAACGAAAGTGGTCAATTGTTACAACTCGATAATCACATTATTACCGATGCTGATGGTAATCAAATTTTGGTTCAGGATCCAGAACAAATTCAACAACTCTTACAATCGGTTGGTGTTTTACAATCTGGCGAAGGTCTCGATGGTGAAACATTGCAAATGATGACCGATGGCAATGGACAAATGGTCTTGGTACAGGGCGAAAATAATGAAACCCAGTTAATAGATGCCTCTCTGCTCAATTCCGAAGGCCAATTGGTTATTCAACAATCACAGGATGGTGAGGGTGGAGCGCATGTCATTGGCGAGGATGGTACACGTATACCCGTGTCCGTATCCTATACCGAAGATGGTCAACCCATTGTACAAGTACAGCAACAAGTTTTAGAAGCTGCCAGTGCGGGTAGTGAGGCTGGTATGGAAAAAGACGCCGCTGAAGGTATGAGCAAAACATTTTTTATAGACTGATTCATGTTTTTTGTTTTCGATATTTATGGAAATATTTGTTTTTTTCTTTTTAGCTGAAACAGCGGGAAATTCAGACAAAATAGCTATAGGAACGGATTAGGAATGGCTAATGTAAAAACAATATAAGAAGAAGAACGAGCATAATTGTAGTATGCGCCCAAAATTGTTAAATATAAATACATCTATATCTGATACGGTTAAATATATCAGTTGAATTCAGGTAAGTCTTAACGATTGTTGAATATGTATATATAGTCCTGAAATAATATCACGATTGGGCGCAAAAGATCCAAAATTAGAGACGAATTAAGTATGAAAAGAATTCTGTAAAGGATCTCTGTTTATAATTTTATTAGCGGATGAAGTTGGAAAGTGTAACTAAAACGTTTTCGATGATTACGTCATTTTAGACTCAATAATTATACACACTTGTTGGTGACCTAAACTTCTTTCGTGTTTCATATGTACTCGGCCAAAGAATGTAATTTAAACAAATTATAATTTAATGTATATGACAGCCAGATATTATTCTGAATAGCGTTGAATACATTTTTAGTTATTTTAGAATAAATTCGTTTAACGGATTTCGTGTTAATCGGACTTGACATCATTTTGGACTCATGTCGGTATCCTATGTACAATTTGCTGACAAAACACTTTTTTGATATTCGTAGAAAAAACTTAGAAAATCGATTATATAATTACATTTTACAAAATTTTTAATTTTTGTCCTTCTCTTTTTTTAGGATTCATTGAAATGTTCGTTGGAGTTTGAGCCTTATTATGTATTGGTGGCACAACCCATATCCATATTTTTTTTGGAATATCATACAATGATGATGAATAGATGCGTGTGCGTACGCCTTGCCTCAAATTCCATACAAATGCAAACAAAACAACAACAAAAACAAAGCGTCAGCGATCACGATTATCTATTGATTTAGGTTTTTATAGTCATTTAAGTTGTAAAATATGCTTAAAAAATATCTTATATATTTTTTTTAATAATTTAAAAACTTTATTTTTTTAAACTAATGTTTTTAATGTGCATTAGTAAGTCTAGCTAAAGAAGATGAAGAAGAAATAAGTAAAGAAAACAAGTCAGATAGACGATAATATATGACACCTAAGAATAGATCCCACAATTTATTTTGAAACATACAAAACAAATTTTCAATAACAAGAACAACCATAATGTCTTTGTATTAAAATGCAAGAAACATTTGGACAAGATATAAAAAACAAACATTTGAAACAGTATGTAAAACTAGTAACATAAATTTCTTTCATATCACCCACCCATAAATGCAACAACATTGCAAATATGTTTTTGTTTTTCCTATTCTTTACAAAATGAAGAATTTGTAAAGAGCGGAAAACAGGAAAATACTTTTTTAATTAATTTCCCCTGTCGTCGTTAGTAACTTAGGATAAGTATAACATCCTCTTCCCCCATCAAACAAAAAAATCACAACTTCTCTTTTAAAGGAATATAAATAAACAAATGTAATTTTAAAATAAAGTTCTTTACATTAAAAACAAAATAAAAAAACATATTTGTTTATTTTTCATTCTACGCAAAATGCAAATTATTTTGAAATAAAAATCGAAATAAAGAGTAAATGTAGACAAACACAAAAACCAATTTACAATTAAACAAAATAGGAAATCTATTGGAAAACTAATAAAAAACATGATGTTGTTTTTAATTTTATTCATTTTGCTGATGCCCTGTATTTATATTGATAGCCTAGGTTATAACTTTTTTGTTCTCCCTTCATGAGTTATAACTTTTAATAAATTAGCATGTTTAATACTTTTTTTTCGTTTCGATAAACAACAACTCCAGAAAAAATTCAAAATTATTACAAAAATTGTATAAAAATAGGTCACAGGCTTTAGAATAAAAAACGTTTTAATTTTTATTAAATTAAACAATTCGATGCGTTATTATGGAAATGCGCATGTTTTGAACGAAATAATGAATTTTAATTTTTTATTAATAAAATACAACAACATAAAACAAATAAAATATAAAAATAAAAAATAAAACAGACACACACTTGATAGTTACGAAGTAATGGTACAGAAATGTAAGGATTTAAGTATAATTCAAAATAAAATGAGACATACAAAAATCAATGTATAAAATGAAAATAAATGCAACAAAAATAAGAAAGTTTTTAATTTTAATCAGGTAAGGAAATATATGAAATATAGATTTTGGAAGAATATTTTTTTCCAAATGTTTGGAAAAAAATATTCTTGGTATCACCTGCAGTCTTCGAGGAAGAGTTATTAAAAAATCCAAAAGGGCTAGTCATCCATTGAACCTGCTTCGTCCTAAACATATAAAATTTGAGCTAATTTATTGCTTATTGCATTATTGCGTCTTATGAGATTTTGAAAACAGAATTTCCTAAATGTACGTCTTATTAATTGTATGAAAATTTGCTGTTTCGGGTCTTGAAAAAAATGTTCTTTAAAAAATCCATGCCTGTTTTGGTCCTTGAAAACATATTCTTTAAATAATCCTCGCCTGTTTTGGTCCTTGAAAATTATTCATTAAACAATCCATGCCTGTTTTGGTTCATGAAAAAAATGTTCTTTAAAAAATGCACGCCAGTTTTGGTCCTCGAAACAATCTTCTTTAAAAAATTTACTCCTGTTTTGGTCCTTGAAAAAATGTTCTTAAAAAATCCACGTCTATTTCGGTACATTAAAAAATCCACGCCTGTGTTGGTCCTTGAAAAAATGTTCTTTAAAAAATGCACGCCTGTTTTGGTCCTCGAAACAATCTTCTTTAAAAAATTTACTCCTGTTTTGATCCTTGAAAAAATGTTCTTAAAAAAATCCATGTCTGTTTTGGTACTTTAAAAAATCCACGCCTGTGTTGGTCCTTGAAAAAATGTTCTTTAAAAAATCCACGCCTGTTTTGGTCCTTGAAAAAATGTTCTTTAAAAAATTAACGCATGTTTTGGTCCTTGAAAAAAATGTTCTTTAAAAAACCTACGTCTGTTTTGGTCCTAGAAAATATATTCATTAAAAATCCATGCCTGTTTTGGTCCTTGAAAAAATGTTCTTTAAAAAATGCACTCCTGCTTTGGTCCTCGAAACAATGTTCTTTAAAAAATGCACTCCTGTTTTGGTGCTTGAAAAAATGTTCTTTAAAAAATCCATGTCTGTTTTGGTACTTTAAAAAAATCCACGCCTGTTTTGGTCCTTGAAAATATATTCTTTAAAAAAATCCTCTCCTGTTTTGGTCCGTGAAAAAAATGTTCTTTAAAAAATTAACGCCTGTTTTGGCCCTTGAAAAAAATGTTCTTTAAAAAATTCACGTCTGTTTTGGTACTTTAAAAAATTCACGCCTGTTTTGGTCCTTGAAAAAATGTTCTTTAAAAAATTAACGCCTGTTTTGGTCCTTGAAAAAATATTCTTTAAAAAATGAACGCCTGTTTTGGTCCTTGAAAAAATGTTCTTTTAAATATTAGCGCCTGTTTTGGTCCTTGAAAAAAATGTTCTTTAAAAAATCTACGTCTGTTTTGGTCCTTGAAAAAATTTTCATTAAAAATCCACGCCTGTTTTGGTCCTTAAAAATAATTCAGTTAAAAATCCACACCCGTTATATTCATTGAAAAAACATTGTTCCACGACTCTTAATAGATTGAAAAAAAATATTCGGATTCGTTGCTGAGACAAAAAATATATTTTTAAAAATTCCATGCTTCTCAAATTCCCATCGCTATTTTCCCTTCTCTTTGTAGTGATTTTCATCTTACTTTCAGCATCCAGATGAGAGACCATTAATTACAATTGTATTGTAGAATATCAACAACAACAATACGAAATCAATTGATGATAACATTGTTCATGACATTTCTTATCACTATTGACTATTCAGTCGCTTCTCCCCCTGAGAGCCCAGCTGATTTCTTTTTATTCGTGTTGTTTTTGGTTGGTGGGATGTTTCCAACCAATACGAAAGGAAATTGAAAAAAAAAAAACAAATCCAAAGACAAAATCAAAATCAAATGATCTGAAACTGGAAAAAATACCATCTACACTTAGTTATAATCTATAGGTTCAAGTGTTTACACCGCATCGTTGAGAACCACAAAAAAAGTAATTCCAGAAATAGAAAAAGAAGAAAAATAAAAATGATAAGAACCCTAGTGACAAAACATATTTCCAAAAGCACCCCTTCCGCTTGGTCCAGCGTAAGATGCTATGCTGCGGCCCCAGCTGGTGGTAAAGTTGAACGTACTGCTCTGTACGATTTCCATGTTAAGAATGGTGGCAAAATTGTAAATTTCGGCGGCTACTCACTGCCGGTACAGTATTCCGATCAAGGTATTGCCGCCTCACATTTGCATACCCGGAAATTTGCTTCGATCTTTGATGTCTCGCACATGTTGCAAACCTATATACGTGGCAAAGATGCCATCGAGTGTATGGAATCGGTGTGTACTGCCGATATCCGTGGGACCGCTAATGGTAGTGGTTCATTGACCGTTTTCACCAATGATCAGGGCTGTATTTTGGATGATTTAATTGTCAATAGGGTTCAGGAGGATGTACTCTATGTTGTGTCCAATGCTGCCATGAAATCTCAAGACATTGCCATAATGGAAGCGGCTGTCAATAAATTTAAGGCCCAAGGTAAAGATGTTGCCATTGAATTTTTAACGTCAGCCGACCAATCATTGATTGCGGTACAGGGCCCCACAGCTGTGGCGGCTTTGACGGCTGTAACCAAATTGGATTTGAGTAAATTGTATTTCATGAATACCGTGGTAACGGAAGTGGCTGGTGTGGAAAATTGTCGCATAACACGTTGTGGATATACCGGTGAAGATGGTGTTGAAATATCCATACCTTCCACCCATGTCGAACAGGTCACAGAGGCCCTTTTGCAACAAACAAAACAACAAGTAAAAATGGCTGGTTTGGGAGCACGTGATTCATTGCGTCTGGAGGCTGGCCTTTGCCTCTATGGCAGTGACATTGATAACAAAACAACCCCCATAGAAGCGGCTCTTGCCTGGTTGGTAGCCAAACGGCGAAGGGCGGAAGAAAATTTCCCCGGTGCCCAAATTGTCAATAAACAACTGAAGGAGGGTGTACAACGTCGCCGCGTGGGTTTGACAATGGATGCGTCTGCCAAACCACCACCAGCCCGTGCCGGTGTCGAAATCTACAAGGACTCCCAGAAGGTTGGCCACATTACCAGCGGTTGTCCAAGTCCCTCGTTGAATATTAACATTGCCATGGGATATATTCAAGAAGAATTCAAGAAACCTGGCTCTGCTGTTCAATTGAAGATCCGTGATCGTTTCTACAATGCCGAAGTGGCGAAAATGCCATTCGTCAAGACTAATTATTATGTAAAACCAAAACAATGAAGCTTGTTAAGAAGCGATTAGCGTTCGAAATAAAAAGAAAAAACAATAACAATTATTTTAATGTCTGCCATATTTTTAGAAAAAAAAAACAACAACAACTACTACTTCTAAAAATAATTTGTCTCGCCTGCGAGAGTTTTAAATGTTTGTATTTATTGATAAGAAGAATATTATTATGTCTCAATGGAATTTTTAATAAAATCTAAAAGTAATTTAAAAATAATACCGTTGAATGTTGAATGCCTCCAATAAATATAAATTATTTTTTTACAAAGATCCTGACTTATAGGCATTTTTTATTATATAAAAATACTCCGTAATGTTTTTACAAAATTATTATCTTGTAAAAATATAGTAAAAATCCAAGATTATTTTAGACTTCATAAAAATAATTTTTAATATATCCAGAATTATGGTAGGCTTCAAAAAAATACGATACCCTACACAACTACGACGGAGTTCTAACTTTCCGCGGATGTTTATTTCGAGCCTGGGCAATATTTCGTGACATTTGCACCCTCTTGCCCGATTAGAGGTCAACAGCACCTCTTCCATACACTGACATATTTTCCGAATATTTCTAATATTCAGTACAGCCCTTCTAATTACTTGTCCAGATTGCCTTCACCACTTTGGGTATATTGTGCATATGTATCCTAACAATTGCATGTCTATGTTCCATCTTTCTCCAACCTATCCTAACATTAATTTCATTAGAGCAGTTTTAGAGCCATCTGCGTAACATGGGGAAAATTTATGGAAAACGATTTATAACAAAATTGATACACGCTATTTGGTACGCCGCGTTGTTAAAAATATAATCTATATGTGGGAGCTATATTTAAATCTGAACCGATTTTCATGAAAATTAACACACATCTTTCTAGACTTAATTCAGTACGCTATGCCGAATTTTATGCAAATCGAAGGATACAAAGGGACCTTGGTGCACCATTTACATAAAATCGGACGAAAATATATATGGGAGCTATATCTTAATCTGAACCGATTTCTACGAAATTTAACACACATCGTTTTAGACTTAATTCAGCACGCTATGCGAAATTTCGTGCAAATCAAATGATATATAGGGACGTTGGTGCATCATTTACATAAAATCGGACGAACATATATATGGGAGCTATATCGAAATCTTAAACGATTTTCCCGAAACTCGCCACTCATCATTCTACACTCAATTTAGTACGCTAAGCCAAATTTTGTGCAAATCGAAGCACTATTACCTAAAATCGGACGTAATTATATATATGCACTATTTACCTAAAATCGGACGTAATTATATATTGGAGCTATATCTAAATCTCAACCGATTTTCACCAAATTTAACACACATCGTTCTAGACTTAATTCAGCATGCTATGCGAAATTTCGTGCAAATCGAAGTATATATAGAGACCATTTACCTTAAATCGGACGAAAATATATATGGGAGCTATATCCAAATCTGAACCGATTTTCAGGAAACTTAGCACACATTATTCTAGACCTAATTCATGACGCTGTGCTAAATTTCGTGCAAATCGAAGCATATAAAGGGACTTTGGTAAACCATTTACCTAAAATCGGACGAAAATATATATGAGAGCTATATCCCAATCTGAACCGATTTTCACAAAATCTAACACTCATCGTTCTATACTTAATTCAGTACGCTATGCCAAATTTCGTGCAAATCGAAGTATATATAGAGACCATTTACCTTAAATCGGACGAAAATATATATGGGAGCTATATCCAAATCTGAACCGATTTTCAGGAAACTTAGCACACATCATTCTAGACCTAATTCATTTTGTTTTAGCAAAATATTCATTACGCTATGCCAAATTTCGTGCAAATCGAAAGATATATAGGGACTTTGGTACACCATGTTAAATCGGACGAACATATATTTGGGAGCTATATCAAAATCTGAACCGATTTTCAGGAAACTTGACAGACATCGCTCTAGACCTAATTCAGCACGCTATGCGAAATTTCGTACAAATCGAAAAATACAAAGGGACTTTGGAGCACTATTTACCTAAAATATATATGAGAGCTATATCTAAATCTCAACCGATTTTCAGAAAACTTGACACACATCATTCTAAACCTAATTCATTACGCTGTAAAAAATTTCGTGCAAATCAAAAGATATATACGGACTTTGGTACACCATTTACCTTAAATCGGAGGAAAATATATATGGGAGCTATATCCAAATCTGAACCGATTTCCTGGAAACTTGACACACATCATTCTAGACCTAATTCATTACGTTGTACCAAATATCGTGCAAATCGAATGATATATAGGGACCGTTTAAATTAAATCGGACGAATATATATATGAGAGCTATATCTAAATCTGAACCGATTTTTTCCAATTTTAATAGGGTTCGTCCTTGGGCCAAATAAGTGACCTATGCCAAATTTAATCCAATTGGGATTATAAATGCGACCTGTATTTTGTTTAGAATTTAACATTGACAGACAGATGGACGGACGGAAATGCATAAATCGACTCAGAAAGTGATTCTATGCATATTCTCGAAAGAAACCATGTGTCTATCTCGTTTCCTTTTGCCTGTTACAAATATATGCATATGCAGGGTATAACAATTCCCAAAAAAGAATTTAAACAAAAATCACAATTATAACGAATTTGAAAACAAAGAACGGTCATGATTTTTTAGCACATTTTTTTAAATTGTAATTTCACTAAGCATATTTCAATTTCACAAGATTCTTTGTTTTAAAAAAAGGTAATAAATGTCTTCATTATGGGGTAATCCCGCAATCCTTGCCATCGCAATAGGCAGGCATTATCAATTATCAAGCAAATATAAAATACGATGTTAATTGTCCGTTAATTGCGTCTAATTAATTTTATGGCCAATTACTTGTGATTTGTGTTGATGTCCAACGGTGGCTGGCGAAAGCCAAAAATAATTACAAATTTTACAACTTGTTTCGAAATTTGACAGGTGTTGAAATAAAAATTATATGTATAATGCAACGATTATCTTTATGAATTATGGTCGGTAATTGTGAAATTTGCAAATAAAAAGAAATTTATTTATTATTTATTCTTTTTTATATTTGATTAATAACAAAATTGACGTTAACTTTGTCATTTATGCATTTTGATTTTTTTTGGGATGAAAACGCGTGACAATATACATATTTAATGTGATGCAAATAAATGGTTTAATGTCTTCACATCAGAATATTTAGAGTTGATTTAGGGAAATACGTCCTTCCATAGAGAAATCCAAATTTTTCTAAAATATTTGCCTAACTTCTCAGTTAGAATTGTTCTGCTGGAAATTGTTCTGAAACCAGTCTGGACACTCTTAAAACATGTTAATTTACCTCATGTATAGGAGCTCTAATTCATTGAGAACATTTTATTTACTGCAATTCACATATAATTTCTAATATTTTATTTAGTTAGGTACTTTTTTTTAGTTAGTTGGGTACTTTCTACCTCACCGATTTCAAAATGCCCCTGCAACTAATCTTCAAAATTTTCTAGTCTAGAACAAAAAAAAAAAAAATTCCTACTTAGCCGGTTTTTAAACTTCAAACATTTGTTTGTGGATTTTAAAATTAAAGTTGAATAAGAAATCAAGAATTTGTTTCCGATGAGGAATTGCTCTTCGTTTTTTTGGTTCTGGTATTCGCAATAACAACAACAATAAAAATGTGTATGTGACCAAATCAAGGATTTAATTAAAACCAGTAAGGAAAGTAGTAAAGTCGGACGGGGCCGACTATATGATACCCTTCACTACTATGGGTATATTAAACAGGACTATTGACATGAAATTGGATGAAATAAAATATGTGATATTTATTTAAATGTGAGTCTACCTAGATCTATCCATAAATTATGTAAATCGATTTCAAACAAATATAAATAGGTCATCCGTTGGGCTATGTCTGTACTTCTAGAAAACGCACGAAACATTATATGGGAGCTATATCTAAATCAGGACCGATTTTCATAAACCTTGGCAATAACGTACTTCTAGGCTCAATTAAGTACGTTATGCCAAATTTCCTGCAAATCGGAGGATGTATAGGGACTTTGGGGCACCATTTACATGAAATCGGACGAAACTATATATGGGAGCTATATCTAAATCTGGACGGATTTTCTTGAATCTTGGCAGACATCACTCTAGGCTTAATTCAGTACGTTATGCCACTAATTTAGTACGTTATGCGACTTTGGTGCACCATTTACATGAAATCGGACGAAACTATATATAGGAGCTATATCTAAATCTGGACCGATTTCCACGAAACTTGGCAGGCATCATTCAAGGCTCAATTCAGTACGTTATGCCAAATTTCGTGCAAATCGAAAGATATATAGCGACTTTGGAGCACTATTTACATGAAATCGGACGAAACTATATATGGGAGCTATACCTAAATCAGGACCGATTTTCATGAAACTTGGCAGACATCATTCTAGGCTCAATTAAGTACGTTATGCCAAATTTCCTGCAAATCGAAGGATATCTAGGGACCTTGGGGCACCATTTACATGAAATTGGACGAAACTATATATGGGAGCTATGTATATCTAAATCTGGACCGATTTTCACGAAACTTGGCAGACATCATTCTAGACCTAAATGATTACGCTGTACCAAATTTCGTGCAAATCGAAGGATATCTAGGGACTTTGGGGCACCATTTACATGAAATCGGACGAAACTATATATGGGAGTTATATCTAAATCTGGACCGATTTTCACGAAACTTGGCAGACATCATTCTAGACCTAAATGATTAGGCTGCACCAAATTTCGTACAAATCGAAGGATATCTAGGGACTTTGGGGCACCATTTACATGAAATCGGACGAAACTATATATGGGAGTTATATCTAAAGTACCGATTTTCACGAAACTTGGCAGACATCATTCTAGACCTAAATGATTAGGCTGCACCAAATTTCGTACAAATGAAGGATATTTAGGGACTTTGGGGCACCATTTACATGAAATCGGACGAAACTATATATGGGAGCTATATCTAAAAATTTTCACGAAACTTGGCAGACATCATTCTAGACCTAAATGATTAGGCTGTACCAAATTTCGTGCAAATCGAAAGATATATAGGGACCGTTTACATTAAATCGGTTAAATATATATATGGGAGCTATATCTAAATCTGAACCGATTTTTCCCAATTTCAATAGGGTTCGTCCTTGGGCCGAATAAGTGACCTATGCCAAATTTCATCCAATTCGGATCATAAATGCGACCTGTACTTTGTTTACAATTTAACATGGACAGACGGACGGTCGGACGGACATGCATAAATCGACTTAGAAAGTGTTCTCAAAAGGAACCATGTGTCTATCTCGTTTCCTTTTGCCTGTTACAAACATATGCACAAAGACATAATACCCTGTACCACAGTGTGGTGAAGGGTATAAAAATACTGGATTCATAACAGTTATTTGATTTGCTTCTTGATACGATCATTTGTCTTCAAATCAGGTTGCGACGGCACGACGTAGCCAACATTTGCATAAATTGTTTCAATCGGCAATGCGGCGGATCTTTTCGACACCAGAAGATACTGTATCACATTTTTCATCGTGGAACTGGTTGCTGTAGAATTTAATGAAAGCTAGTTATGTTGAAGTCTTAGATTTTGTTAAATATTTTTTTCTAGGGCTTTAGGGCATGGATTTGTTTAAATATTATATTAAGGTCTTGAAAGTTTGAATTTTTTATAAAAATGTTTTTAAGGACCACCTAGAGGCGGAGATTTTTTAAATTATTTTTTCCAAGGACCTCATAGAGGAGTGTTATTTTAAAATTAAATTTTTTCAAGGACCACACATATATGTGGATTTTTATACCCTATACAATTATGTTGTCAGGGTATTATAGCTTTAAGAACACCGATCGTCATATCTCGACTAGCTGAGTCGATCTAGACATGTGTGTCAGTCCGTCTGTCCATTATAATTTGTAAGCTCGATACAGGCCACAGTTATGGACCAATCTTCACGAAATTTTGCTTGTAGGATGGGTTTGACTCAATGAAGACCCCTAAGATCGGTTAATATTTAGGGGATGAAATGGACCAAATACTTAATTTTTGTAGGCTTTTCTGGTCGCTCCAAAGGCCGCAATTTTTGGCCCAAACATCTCGAATTTTTACATGGAGAAAGGTATCGGGCCAAAGAATAAGCATGCCTTTTTGATAAAGTTCATTCAATATTTAGGGAGTCAAATGGACCCTGATTTTTGTGTGAAAACTGTCAAAATTTGTATTCTATAGCGTATATATTTAATCCTGAAGGACGTAGAGCTGAGAAGTTGATAAAATATCCAAGAGGAGTGGTTGGCCTTTAAATTGATACCAAATATATTGTCGTATGTACTCGGATGTGGGAGTTACACCTAAATATTTACAGGCGATTACGTATTCAGATCTTATTTTATAAACCATTAACACACTAGAGGGCGGAAATATTTGGCACAGCGTAATGAATTAGATGTAGAATGATTTGTGTTAAATTTTCTGAAAATCGGTTCAGATTTAAATATAGCTCCCATATATATTTTCGTCCGATTTAATGTAAATGGTGCACCAAAGTCCCTATATATCTTTCGATTTCCACGAAATTTGGTACAGCCTAATGAATTAGTTGTAAAATGATGTGTGTTAAGTTTCCTGAAAATCGGTTCAGATTTAAATATAGCTCCCATACATATTTTTTCCGATTTTATGTAAATGGTCCACCAAAGTCCATATATATCTTTCGATATGCACGAAATTTGGCACAGCGTAATGAATTAGGTCTAGAATGATGTGTGTTAAGTTTCGTGAAAATCGAAATGATGTGTGTTAAGTTTCTTGAAAATCGGTTCCGATTTAGATTATAGCTCTATATATATTTCGTCCTATTTAATGTAAATGGTGCACCAAAGTCCGAATATTTGGCATGAATTTACTCTAGAATGATGTGTGCTAAGTTTCGTGAAGATCCGTTCAGATTTAGATATAGCTCGCGTATATATTTTCGTCCGGTTTTACATAAATGGTGCACCAAACTCCTAATGTTTGTCTGAATAACACGAAATCGTATCAAATTGAGACTTAAATGACGTTATTGGGTTTTGTTTAAATTGGTGCAGATGCAACCATAGCTTCCATATGTATTTCGAACGGGTAACTGAAATTAAATTTTTAACAGTGCGGCGTACCAAATAGTATGTATCAATTTTGGTATAAATCTTTGTCCATAAATTTGTCCCATGGTATGCAGACGACTCAAAATCTGCTCGAATGAAATTAAATTCATCATAGGTTGCAGAAAGACATGAGTATGTTCCTTCGAGGGAACATTGGGAACACCCAAAGTGGAGAAGGGTATCATATAGTCGGCCGAGTCCGATTTTACTACTTTCCTTACTGGTTTTTATATAAAGCTGTGGAATTTTTAAATATTTGTTAAGAGTCTGAAGGTTTGGATTTTTAAAATATTTTTTGAAGAAAGGCGTGGATTTTTTATATTTTCAAGGTTCTGAAAACAGAAGATTTTTTTTTAATGTTTGTAGAATGTTTGAATCTATATTTTCAAGGACCAGCAGTTTGGGAAAGAGAAAATTTTTAATTATTTTCTTGAAACTCTATATTTATATGTATGATTTTTCTAAAGACCATAACCATACAATCAGCCCGCCTTGTATAATTTCCTTATATATATATTATATATTAAAAACTCATAATTATCCTTTTTTATTTTTTAAATATTTTATTCATAAAAACAATATAAGAAACACAAAAAATAAAAAAAAACATATTTCTATAATAAGAAAATAAAATAAACTAATAGTTCACCGGGTGCTGGGCAGTGATTTAAATCGATTAAATCAACTTCGGGAATTGAAATCCTTTGGGTATGCGATTTATTGATATACTAAATAAAGGCTTAAAAAATTAAGCTATACATCCGATTACACAATTCAAATACATATTTACGTATACTATTCAGTATAAAAAATTAAAAAAAGCTAATTACAAAAAATATATAATTTTATAATGCTGAATTTGTATTTTTTTTTAAATCTCATATTTGTTTGCATTGGCAGGTAAAGATATTTCAGCGATTTTAATGAATTGGAATTAAAAATATATATATTAATAATTAATACAAAATGAAAAGTTAAATTTTAACATTTTGCTATTTTTTAATTCCATTCATATTTAACATTCGACAATGACGATGATGATGATCTCTCTCTCTCTCAGCTAATGACGATGATAAATCACAGTTTACGTGATTCCTCTTCATTCACCTGCGGATGTGTGCGTATATACTCCAATGCTCTGTCGATATATTCCGGCCTCATTGGTATATGATCACCGGTCGGATGATAGCCATCACTATCTGCCACATAGGTCCATGTTATGGGCAAACCCTCAGGGGAGACATATTGTATGGCACCCACTGCCCCGTTGGCATTTCCGGCACCCTTGATCGTAATCCCATTCGATGTTTGAAAGTCGAATTTGTAGTCACCGTCCTTGTTGGGCGCCTTATTGTTATAGTAAATCGTGTATGCATTGCGATCCAGGGCTGTGGTTGCACTATAAACGCTGGCGCAGAATAATACAATAAATAAGGGAATAACCAGAGAAACCTGAAATGAGGTAATCAAATTTATTAACGATAATTAATAAAAAAAAAACAAAAAGAAATCGGCAATAAAATAGACGACACATGCATTCGTTATTTGAAAAAAAAAACATTTTTTTTGTTTTTTTTGCAAATATAAATGTTAGCAATTTTGTTTGTTCGTTTGTTGTTATTATTATTTATTGCTGCATTCTGTCGATGCATAATTCAAGTGTATTGACATTCAACTAATATGGGAACTTGTCGTGTGTCATAATATTAATTTTCAGCTTGCTGACTGTTCCAGATTTTTTTGAAGTAATGATATCGGCCTTAGATCATTATTGCGGAAAAAGTTCGGAGATTATAGTTATGAATTTACTGTTAATGTACATCATTACAACCTGATATTATACACAGAAAAAAAAAATTAAAGAAGATTTTCATAATTTCATATTGAATATGTTCCTCGCGTACAATACAAGTAAAAATTCTTTTAAAAAATTCGTATAAGCCACTATTTTTTCAAAAAATGTATTTTTATTTTTTTAGCTCTACATTACCACTATTTGCTCAAATTTGTTCCTCTCTCTCTCTCTTGACAAAAACAAATGTATTCCTGCCAGGAAAAAAACACCATAAAATTTTAATGAATATTTTCATTATTTCATATTGAATATGTTCCTCGCGTATTATACAATTAAAATTCTTTTAATAAAAATTCATATAAGCCACTATTTTTTCAAAAAATGTTAACATTTCATTAATATCAAAACTATTTTCATACTTCGCTCTACTTTACCACTATTTGCTATCATTTCTTCCACCTCTCCCTCTCTCTTCACAAAAACAAATGTATTCCTCCCAGGTAAAAAAAACCACCACAATTTATTGTTTGTTTTGTAGAGGTCCGCTGGTGGTTGTTAGTTTTGCAAACGTTTGTTTCTCTCTTGTTTACAACCGCGGACTCTCCACTCACTCGATTGTGGCTAGATTTGCATTCCATTGTTTCTTTATTTCAAATATTGGTGTTATAAAATTCGCATATGTATTTTCCAAATTATTTCGAAGTAAATGCTAAATAGATTATAGGAAATAAGTTTTGATTCATCCGAAACATTAACATTGTATAGGAATGTTATAATGAGGCAAAACCAGAGATGTATGTTAGTAAGAAGAATCGAGACAAGACAACACGTGAAAACATAAACTCGAAATGACAAATAGTTTCTGTGACACAAGAAACGGCACCAGGGTTATCGTTGTGCGACCAAAGTCGCAATTTGCAACTTTTTTGATGCCCTGTAACTCAGTTTGCAACTTTTTAAGCTTTGTGCGACTTCTTTGGTATTTTTAATGTTGAATTTTTTAGTGTATTAACTCAAAATAATTTGGATTTTGACCGCCACCGGCATTAAACACAGTTCCAAAGTTGCTCTCTCTCTCTCTCTCTCTGACAAGAAACCTGTATTTAAAGTTTTATGAACTGCATTTATGAAATGCTGAAATCCGATCATTGGCAACAGTTTCTTAATTTTAATGCATATTTTCATAAATTCATTCATTGTAAAAATTCTTATAACTCATTTTTCAATAAAAGTAAACATTTCATTAATATCTTTACCACTATTTGCTCTCATTTTGTCCTCTCTTTTTTTTGACAAAAATAATATTTTTTTCTGTGTAACATGATAATATTTTAGAGAGGTCTGACTTTTTCCCTATTTTCGATGATGATTTAGATTTGAAATTTACAAATTTGGTATAGGTCTATTACAAGGAGTGGACCGATTATCCCCATCTTCAAATACCCCAAAGCCTTGTTCAAAATATTAGATTGAGCAAAGTCAGGTTCAAATTGGTTATATTGGAATATTAATTTTTCAGCAAAATTTTTATAACTTTTTTCTTTTTTTGAGACATTTTTGCCAATTTTCGATATATTTTAATATTGAGTATTCACTACATCTATTGCGAAAAAATTGCTCATAATCGAGATTTTGGCCCACTGGAAATATCTATTCCAGCGGCAGTTGTGTAGGACATTATGTGATCGGCCCTGTCCGACTATATTGCTTCACTCACTGGTTTTTATTTTGTTTTTATACTCTTCACCACACTGTGGTACAGGGTATTATGACTTTGTGCATATGTTTGTAACAGGCAAAAGGAATCGAGATAGACCCATGGTTCCTTTTTAGAATATACATAGAATCACTTTCTGAATCGATTTATGCATGTCCGTCCGTCCGTCTGTCTGTCGATGTTAAATTGTAAACAAAATACAGGTCGCATTTATGATCCGAATTGGATGAAATTTGGCATAGCTCATTTGTTTGGCCCAAGGACGAACCCTATTGAAATTGGGAAAAAGTGGTTCAGATTTATGTATATAGCTCCCATATCTATTTTCGTCCGATTTTAGGTAAATGTTGCACCAAAGGTACTATATATCTTTCGATTTCTACGAATTTTGGCGTAGCGTACTGAATTGAGTCTGGAATGATGTGTGCTAAGTTTCGTGAAAATCGGTTCAGATTTAGATATAGCTCTCATATATATTTTCGTTCGATTTAATGTAAACGGTCTCTATATATCATTCGATTTGCACGAAATTTGGTACAGCGTAATGAATTAGGTCTAGAATGATGTGTGTCAAGTTTCCTGAAAATCGGTTCAGATTTGGATATAGCTCCCAAATATATGTTCGTCCGATTTAAGGTAAATGGTGTACCAATGTCCCTATATATCATTCGATTTGCACGAAATTTGGCACAGCGTAATGAATTAGGTCTAGGATGATGTGTGTCAAGTTTCCTGAAAATCGGTTCAGATTTGGATATAGCTCCCAAATATATGTTCGTCCGATTTAAGGTAAATGGTGTACCAATGTCCCTATATATCATTCGATTTGCACGAAATTTGGCACAGAGTAATGAATTAGGTCTAGAATGATGTGTGCTAAGTTTCCTGAATATCGGTTCAGATTTGAATATAGCTCCCATATATATTTTTGTTCGATTTTCGGTAAATAGTGCACCAAAGTCCCTTTATATGCTTCGATTCGAACAAAATTTGGCTTAGTGTACTAAATTGAGTCTAGAATGATGAGTGGTGAGTTTCGGGAAAATCGGTCGAGATTTCGATATATCTCCAATATATATGTTCGTCCGATTTTATGTAAATGATGCACCAACGTCCCTATATATCATTCGATTTGCACGAAATTTGGCACAGGGTACTGAATTAAACCTAGATGTGATGTGTGCTAAGTTTCATGAAAATCGGTTCAGATTTAGATATAGCTCCCATATATAGTTTTGTACGTTTTAACATAAATGGTGCATCAAAGTCTCTATGTATTTTTCGATTTGCTCGAAATTTTGCATAGCATACTGAATTAAGAGTAGAATGATGTGTGTTTCGTGAAATCGGTTCAGATTTATATATAGCTGTCATTTTCGTCCAATTTTAGGTAAATTGCGCTTCAAACTCCTAATGTTTGTCCGATTGACACGAAAGTGCGGCATATAGCGTGTATTAAGTTTGCTATAAATCCATTTAAATAAGTTTGTCCCATTGTACGCAAACGACTCTAATTCTGCCTGAATGAAATGAAATTTAGCATAGGCTTCAGAAAATATATATGGATTGATGTTAATCGGTTCACATATAGATAAAGATCACATATTTAAGTTCGTTCAATTTCAATGTTCCTTCAACGTCTATTAGAATATACATATATGTAGAAAATATACCAAAGTGGTGAAGGTCATCATATAGTCGGCCCAGTTCGATATTACTACTTTCCTTACTGTTTTTTTTATTTTGTTGTTGATTTTTCCAAATATTTTTTTCTTTTCCTTTTTATTATAGCATAAATATTTTTTTATTATTATTTGCAATCATTTGCTTTAAAAAATCCATTTTTAAATGTGTTTATTAACAATTTATATTGACACAAATGCATGTAAATATATGGATGTGTGTTAAACATTTGGATATGGTCATTTGACATGATTTACTTTTAAGGAATATTTATTTTTTATTGTTTCATCTTTTTTTGTCACAAACACACACACACAGTTGCACCAACCTTGAAATACTGACGATACACCAATCTGTTAATCATTTTGATAATTGAAGTTAATTAAATTTTTTTATTTGGCTACGTGTCTTCGCTGAAATTTCTTTTCTTTTTTTTCTTTCAATTTCAATATTTCACGTTTGTCCAGTAGGTGGTGGCTGGCCGACTGGCTGGTTGGCAAGAAATTAAAAAAAAAAACTGAATTGAAATATATATTTCGCGCCAAATTGCCTCAAAACGCTATTTTTATCCGCGCTCTGTACACACCGAACCTTCGTTGATAACTGCAATGGGGAATATTTGAAACTGTTTTGTCGGTTAGATTTGAAAATTTATATTATTTATAAAATTTGCATATGAAACCAATTTTAGCCTTGCTGCTTGGAGTCATACACACAAATTCTATGTGTTTGAATAAAACGAATGAGAGGTATAAGAGTTTTTCTATATAAGAGATGGATGGTGTGAGGGCGAATTGCTACAATGTTTATCAACTGAATTCATTTTTGCAAGTGAATGCATGGTTCATATTTTTAAAGAAAGTCCGTCTATGTTTGTTTGTTGTGTGGGAGATTAAAAGAAATATTGTCAGCTTTTTGAAAAATATGCCACAAAATATTCATAATTCAAATGAAAGGTGTGAAGACATCACTTCTTATTGAATTTTGTTTCAAACTAAATGGATTGCTATATAAAAACTGCAACATAAATATATTCGATTTGGACCAGCTACCGAATATAGACACTATCCAAATTAAAATTTAAAATACAAATAATAGAGAAGTCTACCTTGAGATATGTTTTCGCTTGGCATTTCCGTATTTTCAATATAATTCAAAATGCATATAAATCTTTGGTTTTAAGATTGTATCTAAACTTGAAATTATATTTTATGACTTGGATTCGACCAAAAACGTCATCCACTCCATAAAGGCGTCATCCACTCCACAAAGATATTTTAAAGAAGACTTTTTTCATGGGCTACAATAGGCGTGGATTTTTATAAAGAAGAATATTTTTTCAAGGCCTACAATAGGCGTGGATTTTTTAAAGAAGAATATTTTTTCAAGGGCTACAATAGGCGTGGATTTTTTAAAGAAGAATATTTTTTCAATTGCTAAAATAGGCGTGGATTTTTATAAAGAAGAATATTTTTTTAAGGGCTACAATAGCCGTGGATTTTTTAAAGAAGAATATCAAGGTAGGCCTGAAAAATATTTTTTTAAAGCTTAAAAATATTTTTTGGAGGGCCTAAAATAAAGACCTAATTTTGGAATATTGAATATTCATTTTATAGCCTATGAATACAATGAAACTGAATCATCAATCTGTCTGTGAGTTTTACGTAATAACATTTTTTCGTTTGTTCTAATTTCTTCCGCACAGATATTATTTTCAAAAATTTAATTTTGTCATATTATCAAAATTATCATTTAAATGACAATATTAAGAAAGTATACGAAAGAACTGGAATTGAAGAAATGTTAAATTTGCAAAACTGCACGCTTAATATTTATACCCTTCACCACACTGGGGTACAGGGGAGATAGACACATGCTTCCTTTTGAGAATATGCATAGAATCACTTTCTGAGTCGATTTACGCATGTCGGTCTGTCCGTCTGTTCGTCTGTCCATGTTAAATTGTAAACAAAGTACAGGTCGCATTTATTATCCGAATTGGATGAAATTTGACATAGGTTACTTATTTGGCCCAAACACGAACCCTATTGAAATTGAGAAAAATCGGTTCAGATTTAGATATAGCTCCTATATATATTTTCGTCCGATTTAATGTTAATGGTGTACCAAAGTCCCTATATATCTTTCGATTTGCACGAAATTTGGCACAGCCTACTGACTTAGGTCTAGAATGATGTGTGTTAAGATTCCTGAAAATCGGTCCAGATTTAGATATAGCTCCCATATATAGTTTCATCCGATTTAATGTAAATGGTATACCAAAGTCCCTATATATATTTCGATTTGTACGAAATTTGGCATAGCGTAATGAATTAGGTCTAGACTGATGTGTTTCAAGTTTCCTGAAAATTGGTCCAGATTTAGATATAGCTCTTATATATATTTTTCGTCCGATTTAATGTAAATGTTGCACCAATTTCCCTATATATCATTAGATTTACACGAAATTTGGCATAGCGTAATAAATTAGGTCTAGACTGATGTGTGTCAAGTTTCCTGAAAATCGGTCCACATTTAGATATAGCTCCCATATATATTTTCGTCCGATTTAATGTAAATGGTGCACCAGTGTCCCTATATACCTCTCGATTTGCACGAAATTTGGCATAGCGTAATAAATTAGGTCTAGACTGATGTGTGCCAAGTTTCCTGAAAAACGGTCCAGATTTAGATATAGCTCCCATATACAGTTTCGTCCAATTTTATGTAAATGGTGCACCAAAGTCCCTATATATCTTTCGATTTGCACGAAATTTGGCACAGCGTACTGAAATGAGTCTAGAAAGACACGTGTTCAATTTCGAGAAAATCGGTTCAGATTTGGATATAGCTCCCATATATAGTTTCGTCCGATTTAAGGTAAATGGTGCACCAAAGTCCTTATATATCCTTCGATTTCCAAAGAAATTTGGCATTGCGCACAGAATTGTGTCTTAAATTTCATGAAAATCGGTTCAGATTTAGATACAGCTCCCATATATATTATCGTCCGATTTAAGGTTAATGGTACACCAAAGTCCTTATATGCCCTTCGATTTGCAACAAAATTTGGCATAGGGTACTAAATTAAGTGTAGAATGACGTATGTTAAATTTCGTGAAAATTGGTTCAGCTTTAGATATAGCTCCCATATATAGTTTTGTCCGATTTAAGGTTAATTGAGCACCAAAGTACCTATATATCTTTCGATTTGCACCAAATTTGTCATAGCGTACTAAATTAAGTCTAGAGTGATGGGTGTTAAATTCCGTGAAAATCGGTTCAGATTTACATATAGCTTTCATATATATTTTCGTCCGATTTTAGGTAAATAGTGCACCAAAGTCCCTATATACCCTTCGATTTGAACGAAATTTGGCATAGTGCAATGAATTGAGTCTAGAATGATGAGTGGTAAGTTTCGGGAAAATCGGTTCCGATTTAGGTATAGCTATCATATATATTTCCTCCGATTTTTTGTAAATGATGCACCAAAGTCCCTATATTCTCGATTTGCACGAAATTTTTCACATCGTATAAAATTGAGACTTGAATGACGTTATTGCGTTTTGTAGAAATTGGTGTATATGCAGCCATAGCTTCCATATGGATTTCGAACGGGTGTCTGATTGAAATTAATATAAATTTTGCTATAAATGGTTTTCCATAAATTTGTCTCATGGTACGCAGGCGACTATAAATCTGTTCCTTCGAGGGAACATTGACATGCTATTGTAAGGATACATATGCACAATATACCCAAAGTGGTGAAGGGTATTATATAGTTGGCCCAGTCCGACTTTACTATTTTTATACCCTACACAACTATGTTGTCAGGGTATTATAGCTTTGTGCAGCCCCAAATGTTTGTAACGCCGCGAAATATTGGTCCTAGACCCACCTTTAAGTATACCGATCGTCATATCTCGACTAGCTGAGTCGATCTAGACATGTGTGTCCGTCCGTCCGTCCGTCTGTCCATTATAATTTGTAAACACGATACAGGCCACAGTTATGGACCAATCTTCACGAAATTTTGCATGTAGGATGGGTTCTGGCCAATGAAGACCCCTATTGGTAAAGATTAGTTAATGTTTAGGGGATGAAATGGACCAAATACTAAATTTTTGTCGCTTTTTCTGGTCGCTCCAGAGGCCGCAATTATGGCGCGAACATCGCGAAATTTTACATGTTGAAGGGGATCGGGCCAAAGAAAAAGCATGCCTGTTTTGATAAGGATCGGTAAATATTTAGCGGGTCAAATGAACCCCGACTTTTGTGTGAAAAATTACAAATTTTGTATTCTATTGCCTATATATTTGCCCCTGAAGGACATAGACCCGAGAAGTTGATTGTATATCCAAGAGGAGTGGTTGACCTTTAAATTGATACCAATTATATGGTCGTACGTACTCAGATGTGGGAGTTACACTTAAATATTTACAGGTGCTTACGTACTGAGATATTATTTAGTAACCCATTACCACACTAGAGGGCGGAAATATGATAATAATTTTGGGATGTAGAGGACCAAAGACTTATTTTTTTTTGTGTTTTTTTTCGAGTCGATCTATAGGCCACAATTATAAGCCGAACATCAGAACACAACCCACGGTGAATGGAATCTGGACAAGTAATTAGAAGGGATGTACTGAATATTATTAATATTCTGTGTAAGGTAGAGGTGCTGTTGACCTCTAATCGGAGCAAATATCACGAAATATTGCCCAGGCTCAAAATAAACATCCACAAAGTTAGAGTTCCGTGGAAGTTGTGTAGGGTATCATATGGTCGGCCCCGTCCGACTATACTGCTCCGCTCACTGGTTTGTTACTGGTTTTGTTTGGAGATAAAATTGCATAGTCATATGAAATTTTTTTAGAATTGGTTTCAAAAATGTATGTATAACGTTTTTTGAAACATCCAAACATAACAGGTAATAAAATATTATTTAAAAAAACACACACTTTTGGTAATTCCAGAAAAATATTATTGTCCTTTAGAAAACAATATTATAATCCTTTAGATAAGACCTTTAAAAAACGCTTGTCGTCATCCTCGATTTTTTTTAAATCCGGGCTTCTTGCAATTCCTAAAAAATCTATTTAAAATTAATTTGAAAAATAAATTATGTTAAAAAGAAACTATTCCAATCAACGTTTTTTATAGTCGTACATGAATGCCATTTTGCCAGTTTTGCCTGTTTTTCTGGAATCTTAAATTCAAATAAAACAATTAAATTTTAACGAAGATTTTGCACTATGCCTTTTGGCTTTCAGGTTTCGGCTACGAATTGTTAAAACTATTTTTCTTCAGTTTTGGATAGTTTAATAGCAAAAGGGCAAACTGACAATGATGTCACTT